ATTTTCTTAGATAGCAGCACTTATCGGTTGCTACTAATGAATTCGTGATGGTAACGTGTGTAGAAAATGTCGGTAAAATTGAATTCTTTTGGATTTCTTTATAAATAAAAAAAACTGACAATATACTAAAATAATTTATATTAAAGAATATTAATATAAAAATTAAAAACAAGATCTCCAAAATAATTAACCATTTTTTTTTTATTAATTAAAATGCACCGATTTAACCATTTCTACTAAATTTTGGACTAAAATTACTAATTAGTAGTAGAAAATTACTTATTATTTTTTTTAGTAAGATTAATATTTAGTTACTGTAATTTTTAATTAGTAACACATTCCTAAGGCCAAATAGAAATGTTTTTTCAACATTTCAATTTAAAACAAAAATATTTTATTTTTCGTGAAAATTTCACAAATTTTGACCCAATTTCTTTACTTGCAATGAGACAAAAAAATAATTTATAATCGTAATAATTATTTATTATCACAACAAAATACTTAAATTAATAGAATAATCGAGTTTGATTATTATTCATTTAAAAAATTTTTTTTATTATTTTTTTAATATTTAAACAAATTTTAATAAAATTGTACGCAAACGTTTAATAATTTTCATAAACAATAAATTTTTTTTTTTAAGGAATTCCATTATTTTCATAAAAAAAATAAAAAATTGTAAAAAAAAATAATTTAATTGAAATGATGAAAATAATTTTGAAGAAGTTACAGTAACAATTTTTTTATAACATAAAATAATGATTTTATCACTCGGTCATGTTTTATAACAATTTTTTATAAGTAGTTTAATTTCAAAAAGGTTTGAAATTGAAATTTTTAAAAATCTTAATTCCTATGGAAAAATAATAATAATCAAATATTTAATAAATAAATGTTTTGTTAAAACTAACTAATTTCAACTTAATCCTATATCTTATCGAATTAACAAGAAAAAAAAGTATTTAAAAATAATAAAAATGTATCAAATATAATATTAAAAAGAAAAATTAATTTTATATTAATTTTGCAAAAATTTTTAATATTAAAAAAAATGTTACTTTTATATTTGATGGAAATATTTTTATTGATTAGCAATCATTGATTTTGAAAGTACATTAAAAGAAGTGAGAGAGTATAATTTGGATTATTTAAATTTACAAATGCAGACGATATTAAAGACTATAGGGAAAATCCTAAAACCTAATAAAATCGAATAGAAGAACGAAAGTGTACATATTCAAAAGAAATATTCCTGGCGTGTGGGTTTTGTGGCGTGCTTTAAACATGGCTCTTCAAATAAACAACTAAGTAGTGACTGTATACATAAAAGCCTTGTATATAAAGTTAACCATATGGCTTTTACGAATACAGTTGAAAATGCAATTTCCTTTTAATGTTCATAATCTTACTTTTTTATCACTTTTATCCATTTTTTCAATTAATTTATTTAAAATGTATATGTTGACAATAAACTGGAATTTTATTAACTTTTTTAAAAAAATATAAAAATTATTCATTATTTTATTTATTATTTCGTTTCAATTATTATGATCTCAATTTTAATAGATTATTGTATTATTTTTATGAATTTATTGAATCTTTGCCCGGTATTTAATAGATAAATAAATGAATTAATTAATAAACTAATCTAACTATACAAATAAAAGAAAAAATTGATTCATTAATAAAGGAATAAATAAAAATAATTGAATAAATAAGTAAATAAATAAGTTAATTAATTATAAATAAATAGATAAATGAATGAATAAATAAAGAAATGACTCAATCAATAAATTAATTATAATAATTAAATAATAATCGAACAAGTAAATAAAAAAATCAATAATCAAAAAATAAATGAATAGACAAATAAACAAATTAATTAAATAATTATAAATATAAATAAAGAAATGAATTAATAAATAAATAAGTAAACAAACAGAACAATAAATAAACAAATGAATGAATAAAGGGAGAAATAAATAATTGAACAAACAAGTAAATAAATAAATAAACAAATGGAAAAATATATAAATAAATAAATTAATTAACAAATGAATGAATAAAGAAATAAATTAACTATATTAATCTTCGTATTCTTTCATTCATTCTGTCCGCAGTTTTTTAAAAATAAAGGAAAAAATTTTTTATAAATTCTATTTGTCAATTACAAATTTTAATTAAAAATGAAATTGAACATTTTTGGATTTTTGTAAAATAAAGTAAAAAATTTTACTGAAAAAAATGTTCTGTTAGAATTATTTACGAATTTCTTTAATTGCAAAATTATTCAAAAACATCAGTAACTTCATTTTTAAACAAATTTTAATTATTATTATTTTTCCATAGGAATTAAGATTTTCAAAAATTTCAAATTCAAACCTTTTTGAAATTAAACAACTTATAAAAGCATTGTTATAAAACATGACCGAGTGATAAAATCATTATTTCATATTTTAAGAAAATTCCTACTGTAACTTCTTCAAAATTATTTTCATATTAAATTATTATCTAAAATTTTCACTAAAATTTATTTTTAAATTAATTTTTATTAGAAAATTCTATGAGAATTCAATTATTTAAATACAAAAGTAAATTATATAATTGAATGTTTCTTAAAATTTAATTCTTACACTGAAAAAAATTCGGTCGAAATCTTTAACTACTATTACCTAGTTGAGTTGAAAGTTGTCAAATTAATTACTTTTTTAGTTTTACTAACAATTTTTGTGTAGTTGATTTTACTACTTTGAATATAGTTGAAGAATAATAGTTTATATAACTAAAAAAAGTAGTTAAATTGCAAAAACAACTACAAAATCTAATTACATCAACTAAATTCTTAGTTCTTTTTACTACTTTCGGTAGTAAATATAAATTTTTAAATTCAGTTGAGGACCTATTGAATCACTCAGGGTAGTTAAAAAGTAGTCAAATCTACTAGTTTTTTTTTTGAGTGTAAAAAGAATTTTATTACCAAATTTTTAAATAATTGAATTGTTTCGATTAATTTTAATAAAATTTTTAAGAATAGTTACATTTTTCGAAGAATTTGTTTAAAATTGTATTAAAAATAATTGAAATTCTGCGATGAATTTTATTAATTTGTGAAAATAATTGAATTATTGAGAAAACTTGTAAAAAATTTGTAAATAATTGAATTGCTGGAAAATTTTTATTATTTATGAAAATAATTAAATGTTTGCGTACAATTTTATTAAAATTTCTTTTAAATAATTGATTTCTTTTGGGGTAGTTTTATTAAAATAGTAGAAATATTGAAAATTGAAATGGGGGAATTTTTTGAAAATAATTGAAATTTTGACAAAAATTTTATTAAAATTTTTTCAAAAATAATTGAATTTTGAAGAAGAATTTTATTATTTATTTAAAGATAATTGGGATTTTGAAGAAGTTCATTTATTTATTATTGCAAACACAACTCTTCTAAAATTGAATTAATTTTGAAATATTTGAGTAAAATTATTCATTTAATAATTTATAATTCACTATTTTATTATGATAGTTGTTCAAGATTTAAGTTATTTAAAAAGAAATTATTGTTAGACATTAAAAAAATTGAAGATTTTGTATTATTATTTTGTGATAAATTCATAATTTATGAGGCAAACAAAAAAGACACAAAAATTCAAAATTTTCTTATGAATTCTAAAATTTTAATTTTTTTCAGGAATTTTAATAAAATTCCCTGACTTTTCCCTGAATTTCCTGTGTCTGAAAATATATATTATTATTATAGTTATAATAATATTAAAACTATATTCCAATTCATATTTTATTTTTATGAAAATAAATTTGAATTAAATATTTTTACGTTATATTATTTTTAAAACTACTAATTTTATTTAAAAAAAGCGAGTAAAAAGTTAGTCGCACGCGTAAGCGCGCGAATTGTTCCTAATTATATATTAAGTTACAATAAAGTATTGAATTTTTCTTTGGACAATAAAAAATTCCGACGCAGTGAACAATTTTTTTTTTTTTGCAATAAAACATTTTTGTAACAAGTTGCTTTGTTATTAAATTACTTTGTTACAAAAGTAGTTTTATTACAAACTTAATGCTATTTTCTAAATGACTTCTTATTAAAAAATTAAGAAAAAAATAATAAACAAAAAAAGTACTGAAAGTAAATTAAAAAATTTTTTTTAGAATATATTTTTTTTTTGTGCAAAAATATGCATAGACGATGAAATAAAGATGATAAATTTATCGATTAACCCAGAATGTTTTTGAGCAAATGTAATAAGCCTTTATAGAATGGATTCACCGCTTTCCCCGAAACAATATGCAACCATGTATTTATTTTCACAGCATCCGAAGAGAAGATCACCCCCGGGTACTCGAGAGTTTTGTATCTCTTAAAGCAACGCCCACCTCGTTTTCCAAAGCCAATCATGAAGTTGAGATTGTTGTATGTTAAGATGATGTTTTTTTTGGGCGGGAAATCTTCGCGATGCCTTGAAAACTCTACCCCTGTTCATTTACATCCTTAACGCTTATTTAGCTTCATTCTTGATCATGTCAATTCCAAAATCGGTTTATATAACTATTGTCTCCTCGATTGTTGCATAGTGAAAATTTAATTTCCGATTATTCATTTTTGTTTAAAAGAAATTAAATTTGGCTAATTTTAAATTTTTCCTTTTTTCTGAAAATTTCCCTTTTTATGGATTTTTAATTTCAATTGTTACTTTGAATCAAGTTTAACGTACTTTAGGGTTCTTTAACGTATTATCAAGAATTTATTACGATTTTTTTTTACTAGAATTTTTTAATAATATTTTTATCGAGAATTTGCTAAGAACAATTTTTTTTATCAAGAAATTATTAGTAATATTTTTTATCAAGAATATATTAATAAAATTTCTTCATCAAAAAATGGTATTTTTTTTAAACTAAAGTTTGAGTTTTTTTGCTTTTTATATCGTGTAATTGGTAACTGTTTACAAAAAATAATTTATGCTATTTAAATTTTTTATTTCATGTACAATATTTATTTGGAATTGAAACGAATGATTTGAAAGTCACAGCTTTAATTTTTAATTTTTTAAATGATTTTCTAAATTTTGTATTTTATATTTAAATGTGTCGAGGCGTAAAAAATTTTGAGACATTCTGTTTTTTTTTAATAAAATAAAAAAGTGTTTGTAAAAGTGTCAATAATTATGGATACAGTGAATATTAAATCCGATTCTGAAAGTGGAAGTAGCTCAAAGCAATTGACATTTGGAGTGGATCGAATACTATCCAATGAAATTTGCTTAAAAAAATCAGGTAAGTTTTTACAATTTTTTTATCTGATTCAAATTTTATTTTATTGTAATTTACTTTATTTTATTTTTTTATTTTAATCAGATAAGTTTTTACAACAATTGTTTTTATATTTTCTTTATTTTCTTGTAATATATTTAATTTCATTTTTTACTGCAATCAGACAAATTTTTACAACAATTTATTTATTTTATTTTTTTTCATTTTATTTTGTAATTTATTTTATTAAATTTACTTAATTTAATTCTTCTTTATAGTAAATTATTTCGTTTCAATTTTTTTTTATTTTATCATAATTTTTTTCTGTGGAATATAATTATTCTTAAATTCTTTTTGTTTTATTTTTCTTTATTTTTTTTATATCTGTTGGAATGCAACTCAATTTTCAAAATTTTTTTGTATTCGAAAATGTCCAAGAAAAATTACATATTTTCACTTAGTTTCAGAATATTGTAAAAATATTACAAAAATTAGATTTTAAAACAATTTTTTAAGGATTGTTTAATGTAATAAAATTAAAAAATCGAGTGCATTCCGACAGGTTTCGCACTGTATATATTTTGTATTCACTTTCGATTTTTTCAGTAATTTCTCGTGAGAAAATTGAAAAATATCCTAAAAACTTTGTATAAGGAAATAAAAAGAATTAATTTTTATTATACTTTTTATTTTTTTTCTAGATTACTTGAGACCAGTGAGTGTACATTGTTTTCCATCAGTAGAACCAAAATCGTGTGGCGGAAATTGTATAAAGTGCGATGTCTTTCGCGACTGTTTGCCATGTCCTTATACGCAAAGTTTTATGCAAGACTCTATTGCAATTACAAATTCCAATCATTTTCATAACTCAATCGAAAATTATTCTAGTATTTATAAACTATCCCCTGTACGGCCAATTCCAAGACGTAAGTATTCAAATCACAATTTTTTAATTTTTAATTTAATTTTTTCCCTTTCTTCAATTGACAAAGAATTTATTTTATTTATTCCAGTAAATAAATTGTTTATCTATTTTTATTACAATTATGTTTTAATGAAGAAAAAAAACAAAAATGGTATTTTTTATTTTAACGAAGTTGTGGATTTTTTGTTTTTTAAATTAATAAATTAAATTTTAATTAATAGTGACGAGGAAAACTAATTGTTTATTAATTACACATCGCAATTCTCAGTGAATTAAAAAATAATTTAAATCCTAGATTCTTTTTTATTCAACTTAAAAGTTTTTTTCTGCAATTTTTAATAATAATTTTATTAACTAATTTTAAATTCAAATTGTTATAAATAGTCGTTCCATGAATTAATAATTACTATTTAATAATTAATATTTTGGATAATTGTTAAATAAATTTTTTATTTAATTTTTATTTATTTTTAATATTATTTTATAAAAAAATAATTTTCTAATTCTATAAAAATAATTCGATACCCAAATAATTTTTTAATTACATATAGAAATAATTTTTGAATAATACAAAAATAATGTTTCAATATCGTATGAAAATAATGCGAAAATATATTCTAATACAAAATTATTTTTTGATAGTGAAATTAATAAAACATTTACTAAAAATAAAAAAAAACGAATTTTACTGTAACTTTTTCTAATGATTACACTTGTGTCATTAACAAATGCTACCATATGTGTTAGTGTTTTTGTTTTTTTCTACAAAAAAGTAGAATAAATTATTTACTTGACAGTGCGTATTCCCGAATTTCCTGTCTGTGTTTAAACGACATCTTAAGTGCCACTGTGCGTTTATATCTGTTATAAACAGTGGTTTGCTTTGGGTGATTTAATGGTTAGCTATAATCCTATCTGTATGCTTCTTAAGATTGATTCCAAAAATTTCTAAAGATCTCCTTTTTTCTCCTCCTTAGAATAATAAACTCACGTGTTGATACTTTATACACTCATATCAATTTCAAAAAAAGAAAAAAATTTCTTCTTTCTTCATCAGAGATTCATTCTCTTATAAATTCATTATATTCTTTATTTTCATTAATTCACGAAAAAATTAAAGATTCTTTCGTTTTTAATAATTTCTCTTTTATCTGCCACAAAGCAATATATTTGTTTTCTTTTTAGAGCGAATAAAAAAATTCTGCTAGGTTTTTTTATTTATAAACTACAAAAGAATAATTTCTTCTTTAAGTATTTATAATTCTCTGTTCAATTTTATTTGATATCTAATAAATTATTTTGGAATCTTTTCTGAAAATAGCTGTTAATTTTTTGTAAATAACTTTAAATTCTTTATTTTCAAATTGTTCAGTTTTCAAATTGAGTGGAAACAAACAATTTTATAGGGAGATTTATAATAAAATTTAAATATTAAGAATTAAATTTATTTTTTACTCCATTTTTTACTTGAAAATTTTTCTTGTCGCCATATTATTATTTTATATTTTACTTTATTTATTTATGTATTATCCTGTAAATGGGCTACAAATAAAAACGTCATTTTGTACAGAGTACTCAAAATAGAAATAAAATAATTTAATTTTCTATTTATTATTAATAAAATTTTATTCTTTGATTTTATTTTTCGATTTAATTTTTATTTAAATATTTATTTACATATTTAAATGGGCTTCCATTGATTTAAAAAATACCCTTTTTATTTATTTTATTATTTTCTTCTTGTTTTATAATAATAACTATACGATTAAGAATTATACAAATTTTTAATAATAATTTATTTTCTACAGTTCCAATAGTTTCCAATAGTACAAATATTTCGAATGTAAAGGACGTTAGCAGTAGAAGAAAACGATCTTGGTCCAGAGCAGTTTTCAGTTCCTTGCAAAGAAAAGGATTGGAGAGAAGATTTTCTCTTCAAAAATACATAACAAAACCCGATAGACGACAATTGGCTGCTACTTTAGGCCTCACTGATGCACAAGTAAGTTAAAATTCCTAATTTCTGGATTTCATTTATTTTTAAGCATATAATTTATTATTTTCAAATCATTAAATTAAATCATTTTCCTAAATAAATATTTAAATACTTCTTATTTCTTTTTTCACAGGAAATAAAATTTAAAAAATTTCAACTTCTGAAATTTAATAATTTCTAAACATTTAATTTTAAACTATATAACCTTTCGAAAAATTCATTTTTTTTTTACAATTTTCAAGCAAACTTCATCTCTAAATCAAATATCTATATTAATTTTTAATAATTTTCCGAAAGTTTTTCAAGAATTCAATATTATTTAAATACAAAAATTCAATTTTTTATAATAATTGAAACCGTTTATTTTTCTTTTTAAAAATATTAAGGTAGAATATTTTCAAAAAATTTAATAAAGAAATTCGTAAAATTAACTTTTTAAAAATATTTCTAAATCATTTTTGAAAAATGTCCAAAAAATTGAAATTTGGTAAAATCTTTTAAAAAATAATTAAAATTTAGTAAAATCTTTGAAAAATAATTTAAATTTGATAAAATCTTTTAAAAATAATTGAGTTTTTAGAAAAAAAATATGAAGAAAGTATAATAAAATTTTTGAAGAATTTTAATTCTAAATAATTTCTCAAAAATTCTAAAATAGGAAATTTAAAAAAATTTAATTTATTTTGTTCGAAGGTAATTGAATCTTAAAAAATTATGATGAAACAATTCTAAGAATTAGTTTTTCATAAATATTGTAATTTAATTTTTCGAAAATAATTGAAAAATTTTTATATAATTTAAAAAAAAATAATTTTTTGAAGAATTTTAATTAAAAATTTTAAATATGATTATTTTCTCCAAAATGTTGAAAATAATTCTAAAAATCAATTAAATTTTAAAAAATTTCAATTATTCAAAATCTTTTTAATTGTTTACTTTTCAAAAATTGAATTAGAAAAATTATTCAAAAATAAATTTTCAAAGATTTGTCTATAGTTATGCTTTTTACACTTTTTTTAATAAAAGTCGCATTATTTGAAAATAGTCGAAAATAGTCGAAAAAGTCATAATATCTGAGGCCTGTAATTGTCGAAATTTTGGATTAATTTTCTCAAATTAATTTTTTAATTGCAAAAAATTTAAAAACAGCCTGATTATTATAATTTTTCAAGTAAAATAAAAATGTTATTGATTTTCTCGTACAGGAGGGTTTTTATTTCTTTTATTAATATTTTCTTTTACTGAAAAAATTTTTAAATAAATTGAATAATTAATAATAATTGAATAATAAATTATTTAATTAATTTTAAATATTTTATAAATAAATTATTTTCATTAAATCTTCTTTTTTTCGTTTTCAAAGGTGAAAGTTTGGTTTCAAAATCGAAGAATGAAATGGCGACACACAAAAGAAGAATCGTCAGTCACAAAATCTGAAGCAGTGCAAAATAAAAATTCATCAAAAAAATCATCAGTAAAAAATGATTCAAATAAGGAATTAAATTTAATGAGACAAAATGAAGAGCGTGAAAAATCGATATTTGAAAATTGCACAAACGTTTAAAAAATTTAGTCCTGAAAAGAAAAATTGTAATAATAATTTTTTTACTTATGCAATTTTTATATTTATAATTTTTATATTTACAGTTAGTCCTGAAAAGAAAAATTGTAATAATAATTTTTTTTACTTCTACAATTCTTATATTTATAATAAAATTATAAATTTTAATTGTTTATTTATACAGTGTACTTCTTCCGGTATTTATTGAAAAAATTATTAATAATTCTCGATACACACGACATCGCTCTCGCAGTTTACCTTGAGACTAGCCTTTTATAAACTATACATGCAAATTTTTATTAGGACTAATATGGAAACGTGAAAAGTGCGACGTTTCAATATTATAGGGATTAATTTTTTTTCTCTATGAATTATAATTATATTTTTGTTACCTCAAAATTATTCCAATTTTTTAAATTTATATTATGTATATTACATGAAGAAAAATAAATAAATATAGAAATTATTTTAAAATTGTTGAAAAAAGTTTTTTTTAAAACAGTTTAATTTGTTGCTAATCTCGAATGTTATTTACTTCCTAATTGTAATTAGTTTTTGTGGGGGGAATAATTACATCAAGATAAGGCAAAAAATCTGAATAGAAAATTTTATTCACTGAGTCAGTTTTCTATGAGGATTGACTAAAGAATCAACGAAAATTTTACAAAAAAAAAATCATTTTTCACTTGAAAAGTATTTATTTAGATTTGCTTATATTAAATTAATATGATTATATAATTAATTTTAATAAATAATTGAAAATTTATTTATAGTCGAAATTTTTTAATTTTTAATTAAAAATTTTTTAATTTGAAAAATATTTAGTTTAACAATATTTAGAAAAGTTACTTTTAGGTGAGTATTTGAAATAATTTCAAAAGAATTTTAATTATCATTAATATCAATTTCCATTAAAAAGAAAAAAAAATGTTAATTAATTTTTTGAAAATTAATTAAATTTAAATATACCGATAAACGTGTGCCGCAAATTATTTTCATTAAACTTATCATAGAATATATATTTACATATTTAGAGTAATTAATAAAATAATAAATTATTTCTAAATAATTATATATTAAATTATATTTATTTAGTTCTGTTGAGAACAATTTAAAAATTACCCGCGCAATTCAAAACTACTACGTGAATCATCACCAGTCAGTTGTTTTGACCACGCGAGTCATATTCTATTGTTTTTGTATTTATTATTTTATTTGCAGGATTTGCAGGCTTGTCAATGTCATATATTTACTATCGAAATAACAATAGTGATATAAAAGTAAAACGTAATTTATCTATAAGAAGTTTCTTTTGAATTTTATACAAGTCCTTTTAGCCGATAAATAATTGAGATTTTTTTTTCATTTAAATCTCCAATAACAATTTTCTGATTTTTAGTGTGTTTTATATAAAAGTGTCCCGCGAAATTCATCAGAGAAAAGGAAATTTCGTAAGAATATTTAAAAATAAACGTTTATTATTGTATTCGAAGGTTTTTCGTGAAATTTTTATTTTTATCACGAAAAACTTGTAGAATACAAAATGCAGAGCACATGGAGAGATCGAGACAGGGTAAGTTGTTATATATTTATTAAATAATAAATGCGTGCAAAAATTATAACCTAAAAATGTCATAACAAATTCATTTCTAATTGTTTTGTTTGCCTCTAAATTAGTTAAAATTTTTAAAAATTTATATTATATTCATACGAAAATGTTTGTTTAAAAACCTTTTTTCACACTTTTTTGGATTATATAAATTTTTTATTTTATTATTTTACTAAATTGTATTATATATATACTACCTGTTATTAATTAAACCTTAAATCTTTATTCACTATTATCGTTAAATTAAATTAATTATCTTAATTGGAATTGATTTTTTTCAAAATTCTGTATTAGGACTTTCAAAAGTTCCTGGTCGGTGGAGAAACGACGAGACGTCATTTGGTGGAGGCTATTTTTACAACAAAAAGAAGACAATATACCCCTTTACCAGGATTTGATCCCAATATTGATGAAAAGGAATATTATCGTCTTCAGCAAAGTATCGATTGCGATGAAGTTTATCCAAATATTTTTCTTGGAGACTTGTTAGTATTTTGTGACAATTTTCTATCTCTTAATTTCTAATTATTTGTTTGCAATTTGCATGTTGAATTCTTTTTGTTATTAATTAATTAAATTAATTAATAAATAAAATAAATAATTAATAAAATTAAGAAATAAAATAAATATCTAAATAAATTAAGAAATAAAATAAATAATTAATTAAAAATACATTTAATTAACAAACATTTGTATTTTTCAGCGAAACTGCAAAAAACAAACCATATTTACTGGGCAGATTGAAAATTACGCATTTATTGAATTGTGCTGAGGGAAAAAAATTCGGATTTTGTCGAACCGATAGATTTTATTATCTAGACACACAGCTAAAATATCTTGGTTTGCCTATTTTGGATTGTCCATCACAAGACATCAGTCAGTATTTTCAAACGGCTGCTGATTTTATCGAAGATGCTTTAAGTACCGGAGGTATGCCTTTTCCTTACGATTTAAAGAAAACAAATTATCTTTTCCCAAATATTTTAATTTTCACTTCAACGAAATTAATTTAATTCAAATTTATTTTAATTTATTTATTTTCGCCAATATATCTTTTTAATTTCGCTAATATTGAATTTGTGTATTTTAGGAAAAGTTTACGTGCATTGTCTCGTTGGAGTTTCACGAAGTGCAACTTGTGTTCTGGCATTTCTCATGATAAAAAGAAACATGTTGGCAGTTGACGCAATAAAACTTGTTCGTCAAGGAAGAGATATTCATCCGAACGAAGGATTTCTTCAACAATTGGCACAATTGGACAACTATTTGCGTCGATCAAGACTTTAATTTTTTTCTACTAGACAAAATATATTAATTTCACTTAGTGAAAAATGGAAATCCAAAAAGAGAATCAATATTCTAACGTACCAAGGCTGATAGTATATTTATTAGTACGCCACTTTTGATAATTTTTCGTGAAGCACTCGTTAATGTAGTTGATGATTAACTTTCTTCATAATGAAATATTAAAATCGTTTATAAACGAAAACATTTTTTAAAAAGTTAAAGATCTATTTTTGTAGACTGCTGGCAGTCGCTTTTTTTAAATAAAAAACGTTATTTTCAGTTTTATATAATTAAAACTAGAATTAGATTTTTCTAAAATTATTTATTTTTACGAGATCTCTTATTTAGAGAAAACTAAAATGTATATTTTGAAATGATCTAAATTTATTTCGTGTAATAAAGAAAATTATATCAATAGTTTTTATTTAAATTCTTTCGTTATTTTTTTCCTGTTTTTGATTTTTATAGGATTGCCACAAAAAATTTAATTTTGTTTTTCCCTTATTTCCAGATAAAATTTTGCCTTTTTCCCTGACACTAAAGATTTTTCTGATTCACTCTAAAAATTATTACATACTCAAAAAAAATTTCTATTACATTTATTTACGAATTTCCTTAATTATAAAATTATTCAAACACACCAATAACTTCATTTTTAAATAAATATTTTTTCCGTGGGAACTAAGATTTTCAAAATTTCTAATTCAAACCTTTTGAAATTTATTAACTTATAAAAATTATAAAACATGATTACTCCGAGTCTTCGACTCGAAGTGATCGCTTTCTTCATGTTTTATAATAATTAAAGGTTATTTTCTTCATTTCAATTCAATTATTATGTTCTACAATTTTTAAATAAAATTCTTCTTTAAATCAATTATTTTTAATAATTTTTGAAAACATTTTTCTCTGAGAATTTTAAAATCAATTTGTTTATAACTCAATTTTACGTGAAACTTCATTTATTCGAAAATTCTTCAATTAAATATACATTAGAAAATAATAACTAAAAGAAAAATATTTTTTTAAAAATTCAATTAAACTTTATGAAAAAAATGTGTTCAATATAATTTTTAATTAAAAGTATAAAAAAATTCAGATTTTCAAAGATTTTCTTTTCTCCAAAAATTCAATTATTATCTAAAACTTTAACTGAAATTAATTTTTAAATCAATTTTAATTAGAAAATTCTACGATAATTCAATTATTTAAATACAAACATAGATAATTTATAGAATAATTGATTGTTTCTTGAAATCGAATTCTTATACATAATTTTATAAACAAATTTTTAAATAATTGAATTTTTTCGACGAATTTTAATAACATTTTTAAGAATAATTACATTTTTTGAGGAATTCGATTCAAATTGTATTAAAAATAATTGAAATTCTGCAACGAGATTTATTATCTATGAAAGTAATTGAATTATTGCGAAGAATTTTATAAAAAAAGTTCCAAAACATTATAATATTATCAAAATTCTTGTTTAATAATTGAATTTTTTTGGGAAATTTTATTAAAATAGTAGAATATTGAAAATTATTGAGTTAAGAGAATTGTTTGAAAGTAATTGAAATTTTGCTATGAATTTTATTAAAATTTTTGAAAATAATTGGATTTTATTACTTTTGAAAACAATTGAATTATTCTTGTCATGAATACTAATATTTATGAAAATGAGTTTTATTATTTATGAAAATAATTGAATTATTGCGAAGAATTTTATAAAAAAAAAATTTTAAATAATTGAATATTTCGAAAAAATTTGTGTAAATTCTATTTTTAATATTTTCAATTCCTGTGAAATTTTCATTATTTTGAAAAATAATTGAATATTCGTGTAGAACTTTGTCAAAATTGGTTTAAATAATTGAATTTCTTTGGGAATTTTTATTAAAATAATAGATATACAAATAGAAAATAATTGAAATATTGCATTGAATTTTATTAAACTTTTTGAATATATAATGAAATTTTGCAAAGAATTTTATTAAACTTTTGGAAAATAAAGTGAATTTTAATAATTTTGAAAATAATTGAATTCTTGCGATGAATATTGTTATTTATGAAAATAATTTACTTCCTCCGAATGATTTTATTATTTGTGAAAATAATTAAATCCCTAAAAAGAATTTTAACATTCATGAAAATTCAATTACTGCGAAGAATTTAATGATAAATTTGTTTTTCAGGAAAAATTTAATGAAACTGAAGTTACCAACGTTTGTTCGACGAAAAATATAATACACGTAACAATTTCTATTTCCCCGCCTCAGATCCAATTTTTTCCCCACATTTATTATAGATACTAATATTACAAGCCATTAGAAATTCATATCAAGTGGAACCAAATCGGGGAGGGCAACGATTTTGACATTTTTGTTATCACGGATTTTTCGAAACAATTTCTATTTCCCCGCCTCAGATCCAATTTTTTTCTGCATTTATTAAAAATACTAATGTCAGGAATCATAAGAAATTGGATCTGAGGCGGGAAAATCGTTACGTATTATATTTTTCGTCGAACAAACGTTGGTAACTTCAGTTTCATAAAATTTATGCAAATTCTATTTTTTTAAATAATTCAATTCGACTGTGAAATTTTTATTCTAAAATAATCTAATTTAATTACGTTTGAAAATAATTGAATTCTTGAATACTATTAATTTATTTATGAAAATCATTGAATTTTGCAATGAATTTAATTAAAATCCCTGAAAATAATTGAATTTTGTCAAAGATTATTCATTTATTCATTTATAAAGGTAATTGACCATTTTTTTTTTGAGATTTTTTGAAAATAATTGAATTTCTGCAAAGAATTTTATTAATTTTGAAAATAATTGATTTCTTGTAATTGAAACGTTAAAAAGAATTTTTTAAAAAATTTTTGAAAATAATTGAATATCTGCAAAGAATTTTGATATTTATTAAGATAGTTGAATTCTTTCAAAGAATTGGGTTAAAATTTTAAAAATTGAAACTATAATTTCAATAGAATTAAAATTAAAAAAAATATTTCATTAAATGATTTGTAAGTAATAACTTAATGTCAGTTCTCCAATGAAATTAAGTTATTTAAAATAAATTATTGTCAGAAATAGAAAAAATTGAAGGTTTTTCTAGAATTCGTGGTAGTAATTTCATAGCTTATGAGTGAAACAAAGAGAAACAAAAATTCAGAATTTTTCTATAAATTCTAAACATTTAATTTCTTCCGGTACTTTTAATTAAAACAGGCAACCTTGTTTTAATTCTCCATTTAATTTTAATTTTTAATTCACTAATTTAACTGTTACTTTTATACTAAACGTCAGTGAATTAATTAGGAAAGCAAAAATCAACTATTTGTTGGAATTTTCTGTTTATTATTTTAATAGAAAGATGACAATGTTAAAGGTGTTTACTTCTTGGCTTTCTTCTCCTTCGTTGCTGCAACTTTCGTGACATCATCGGGATTTTCAGAAGCATCCTTCGCGCGTTTTGCTCGAATTCCAACTAACCGTGCATCTGCTCTAGCTTTGCGAAGCGTAACATAAGCTGAGAATTTCTTATCCTCATCTGACAATACGCTGGCTTTAGCCTTAGCTGGGGCTTGATGTTTGAATGGCATAATTTGTCCCTTAAATTGAACGGCTACCTTCTGCTCTTCTTCGGTAGCTTCTCCCTTCTTGGGCTGCAGGAAAAAAACAACAGTTTTATTAACACCGAAACGAAAGAAAATAGAATAAAATTAGTTAAATCTTTAATTTAAATTAATTAAACTAAATTCAAATTAAAGAAGTTAAACTAAATTTAAATTGATAAAATTTAATTTAGTGAACAATCGTCTAAAATAGTGGACAAAATGTTAAACTCACCTTCTTCTCATTCAATGGGAAGAGAATCAATTTGGCTCTATATTCCTTAAGCCTCTGAGCATTCTTTTGCAGAGATTCGACGGATTTGTTTCTTCGTCTTGAATCAACTGCAATGCCAATGGTTCTTGCGAAATGTTTATTCAAACCACTTGCTTTCAATTCGGCAAGAGTGAATCCTTTTCCAGCTCGAACTTTCGAGTGGTACCTGATAGTTGGGCAGTGAACCACTGGCCTCAAAAGTTGTGTTGGTCTGTAAGAATATTTTTACATTTTATATAAAAACCGAACGATTTTATTTAATACCGATACTGAAGTCTGCAACGTTTTTAAAAACGAAAAATTAACGCGACGATTTATTTCAATTTAACTTCAAATTTACCTGTTATTTTTAAACGATTTTCTTTTAATTAACAATTAATTTCTTAATAATTAACACACATGAAAATGAGAAATGAATTCAGCTTCAAAAAAATTAGTTTTCAAAAACGTTGACGACTTCATCTATACTTAATTTAATAGAAATCGAGAAGATAATTAATTATAATAAACTATAATAATTATAAAGTATTATAATATTGAAACAAAATATAAAGTTTATTTATTTTATTGTAAATTTTTATAGACATTAAATAATAATTTTTCTGCCATTATTCGTGAAATTTCTACAATCATTAAATGAGCACAAAGAAAAAATTGACAGTAACAAAAAAGAATTTAGCAAAAAGTGACACTGAACTTAATTGTTATTGAAACGCAATTATTACATACCTTGGGGCAAGGGAACGTGCTTTCTTAACTCTGTTTTCCCTTCTGCGGAATTTCCTTGCTGGTTGGTTGAACCAGGTCTTTACGAAGCGTTGCCAATCCTTGTGGAAATGGCCATTCGGGATCATATTATTTCTCTTCCCCATTTTTGCACTGAAAATAGAAATATTTTTATTAACAAATCACATTTACTCTCGTTATTTTTAAATTAAACTTGTAAAAATTAAAAAATAGACATGAAACACGAAACTGGGATTTTTAGGTTATGTTCCACCTGTCATAATTAGTAAACAATACAATTAATGTTTAACTCCCCCCATTATTATAACAATCTCAACAAAGTATTTAAACAACAAAAATATCAATTAAAAGTTAATTAAACGTTATTTTAAGAGCAAAAATGACAAAATTCGTCATAACCTCTTTCACACGCGAGAATCAACTTTTATTACAATTATTTTACAATGTAAATCGAAAATATTTTTTGCAAAATGAACAAAATATGTAACAGTACCTCTAAATAGTAATTTCAGTCTTTTTTATAACACGATTAATTCGATATTTTTTGATTAAAATAGAGAAATATGCACTCACCAAGTTGTTTATAATACGCTGACCAGCGAAAAAAGAGAGGTTGGATTCAGAGTACTACGTAAGTTTTACCAAGTGATTTCCGATTTTTGAAATTTTCAATTTCTTTCTTGATGATTTGTAATTTTATGAATTAATTTTGAAGAAATATTTTCTAAGATGATTTAATAATGTTAATTTTTTCAAGAATTCAGAAATAAATAGATAAATATAAATTTTAAAGAGTTTTCTCTTTGACTAATGTTGTGCAATGTGTACCTGTCATGAGAACGTCGTCTGCTACATGAGTAAATAAATGTTATTTTCAAAGTGTTTTAATGAGAGTGAATTTAAGTAATTATGAAATATAACCTGATTATACGAACCAGCACTGCAAAACTAATTAACAATGTTATTATTAATCAAATTTCCCGAACGTATGCGTCGGCTGGTTTGGGTTTGTGGGTAAGTTGAAATTTAAGGTTATGTTAATTTCGTAATATTTTTCAGAAACTAAATAATTTAATTTTGTTTATTATTATTTTGTATATTAATAATACAAAGGTTTGAATAATAAATAATATATTTACTAATTAAGAATTTATTAGTAAAGAATATTTTTCTTATAAAATTTTTTAAAAGTATTTTAAAAAATGTTAACAAAATTCAATAATTTAGTGTTTAATTTCAATAATTAACAAACACAATTTTTTAAAAACTTGAAAGAAATTGTTCATAAAATTCAATTACTCCAAAAATGTTCAATTAATATTATTAAAGAAACTCCATTATTTTGAAAAAATTCAAAAAAATTCTTCAAAAGAATTCAATTAGTATTTTTAAAAATTTTAATAAAATCTCTCGCAAGAATTCAGTTATTTTCCTTAATAATAAAATTCTTCTAACGAATTCAATTATTCTCAAATTTTTTGATAAAATTCTTTGCAACAATTCGATGATTTTCAAAACATTAATTTTAAAATTGAAAATATTACCGGAATACAACGATTATTAATATAAATATATAAGATTTTGTCGTTTACTTATGATTTTAATTTTCTTTTAGGATAAAATAATCGATACAGACATAAAACACAAAATTGAGGACTACTGGAAGGAAAAAGTAAATTCAGTGAGTCAAACTCAAAATGATAAGGAGAAAGAAAAATTTTACGTACTCTCAATGTTTCCATATCCATCAGGTTCCCTTCACATGGGTCACGTTCGAGTTTACGCAATTAGTGATTCCGTTGCTCGATTTCATAGACTAAATGGTAAATTTTACATCGATATTTAAATATTTTTTATATTTATTCTTCTATTTATAGTACCTCTTTTGAAAATTACCTTTTATTGAAAGTTAATTCAGAAAACAAATTAAAAATTCATTCTATTATAAAAATAAATATTTCACTTTATTTTCAATACAGGAAAACGAGTTATACATCCAATGGGTTGGGACGCATTTGGATTGCCCGCCGAAAATGCAGCAATCGAAAGACAAATTGATCCGGCAGAGTGGACAAATCAAAATATTGATTCAATGCGAGAGCAATTAAAAAAATTAGGCTGTTTATTTGATTGGGAGAGGGAATTTGCCACTTGCGATCCAGAATATTATAAATGGACACAGGAACTTTTCATAAAACTCTTTGAGAAAGACCTCGTCTATCAGAGTGAATCCTACGTGAATTGGGATCCTGTCGATCAAACCGTGTTAGCCGATGAACAAGTCGACGAGAACAATCGTTCCTGGCGATCAGGAGCAAAAGTCGAAAAGAAACTTCTCAGACAATGGTTCATTAAGACAACAGCTTTTTCCAAGTAAGAATTCAGTTTTATTTTTATTTTTCAAGTTTACAAATTCATTTTTTTCTTCCAGACAATTATTAGAAGGCTTGAAAGATCCCATTTTAAAGGAATGGCGGGATATTATAAAAGTTCAACAACACTGGATTGGCGAATGTAACGGTACAAATATAAAATTTGAATTAATTTCCAAAATTGAAGACTATCCGAAAATTCTCACCCTTTGGACGGATAAACCCGAATTTATCAAAAATGCGAAATTCCTAGCAATTTCCAAGAATAATTTACTTAGTAAACAAGTGGAATTTGAAGGAGACGATGGTTATAAGCTTTTAGATGCTAAAATTATCAATCCTTTTACAAAAGAAGAATTACCGATTTTTGTTACGAATTTGATTAATTTTTCGTCAAGAGATGATCATTTGGGAATTCCCATGGCGTCTGATGAAGATGCAGAATTTTGTAATACTGTTGGAATTCAGTATGAGACTAATAAGGAAAGCAGCAATGAGGAGAGAGAATTGAAGAGAGAGGAAATAATGACCGAGGCTAGAAATTTAAAAATTGGAGGATATCCCGTGAGTGAGCGTATTAAAGATTGGCTGATTTCCAGACAACGCTATTGGGGAACTCCAATTCCAATTGTTCATTGTGACAGTTGCGGTCCTCAACCAGTAGCCAGGAATGAGCTTCCAGTTGTTTTACCGAAAGTCAATTGCTCTTCGAACGAGAGAAAAGCATCTCTTTCCGAAGCTACCGAATGGCTGAAAACCTCTTGTCCAAATTGTGGCAAAAACGCTGTGCGAGAAGCCGATACAATGGACACATTTGTCGATAGTTCCTGGTATTTTATTAGATTTATTGATCCGAAAAATCGAAAAGAAATGTTTTCACAGGAGAAAGCTGGGGAAAATTTACCTGTTGATCTCTATATTGGCGGCAAGGAACACGGTAATTTTTATCACTAAGTATTTTAATAATTTTCTTTATTTACTCATTTTTACAGGGTTGACACAAAAAATTAATTTTCTTATTCCTTGACTTTTCACTGATTTACAGATAAAATTTTGACTTTTTCCTTGACCCTAAAGAATATTTTGATTCACTCTCAAAATTATTAGATACTCAACAAAAATGTTCTATTATATTTATTTATGAATTTTGAAAATTGAAATTGAAATTCAAACCTTTTGAAATTCAATAACTTTTAAGAAGTCTTAAAGAAGTCTTTAAGAAGTCTTCGACTCGGTGTGATCGCTATCTTCATGTTTTATAATAATTTAAATTTCTATAAAATGTTTCAAAAAAAAAAACAAAATTTAATTATTTATAAAAATTTTAATAAAATCCTCCGTAAGAATTTAATTATTTTTATAAGTAATACAATTTTTCACATCAATTCAATTATTTAAAAAAATGTAATAAAATTCGTTGTAAGAATTTAATTATTTTTATAAGTAATACAATTTTTCACATCAATTCAATTATTTAAGAAAATGTAATAAAATTCGTTGTAAGAATTCCTCCGTAAGAATTTAATTATTTTTATAAGTAGGTAATACAATTTTTCATATCAATTCAATTATTTAAAAAAATGTTTAATAAAATTCGTTGTAAGAATTCAATTACATATTATCATAAATAATAGAATTTTTCCTAGGATTTAAATTATTTTTAATACAATTTTAAATGAATTCCTCGAAACATGTAATTATTTTCAATCATTTTTTGCAAGAATTCAATATTACATTTCACAAATAATAAAATTTTTCGCTGAAATTCAAATATTTTCAAAATCTACTATTTTTATAAAATTTACCAAAAGAATTCAATTATTTTAAAAAAATGTAATAAAATTCATTGCAAGAATTCAATTATTTTCATAAATAATAAAATTCATTGCAAGAATTCAATTATTTTCAAAAAAAATAAATATCTTCACACGATTTCAATTATTTAAAAAAGAATGTAATATTCAATTCAATATTACATTTCACAAATAATAAAATTTTTCGCTGAAATTCAAATATTTTCAAAATCTACTATTTTTATAAAATTTCCCAAAAGAATTCAATTATTTAAAAAAAATATAATAAAATTCTTTGCAAGAATTCAATTATTTTCATAAATAATGAAATTCTTCACAGGATTGCAATTATTTAAAAGAAATATAAATTTGTGATTTTTGTTTTTTAAAAGGTAATAAAATTCGTTGCAAGAATTCAATTATTTTCATAAATAATTATATTCTTCACAGGATTTCAATTATTTTTAATACAATTTTAAATAAATTCTTCGAAAAATGTAATTATTTTCAATCATTTTTTGCAAGAATTCAATTACATTTCACAAATAATGAAATTTTTCGCTTGAATTCAAAATATTTTTCAAATCTACTATTTATTTTTATAAAATTTACCAAGAGAATTCAATTATTTTCATAAATAATAAAATTCTTCACACGATTTCAATTATTTAAAAAAAATGTAATAAAATTCTTTGCAAGAATTCAATTATTTTAATAAACAATAAAATTTCCCAAAAGAATCCAATTATTTAAAAAAATACAATAAAATTCGTTGCGAGAATTCAATTATTTTCATAAATAATAATATTCTTCATAGGATTTCAATTACTTTTAATTAGAGTTGTGCAAAAAGCTCGAGGCTCGAGGCTCGAGCGAGCTTTTTCGAGCTTTTCATTTTTCGGGCCGAGCCGAGCCGAGCCTAATCAGTTCGAGCTCGAGCCGAGTTCGAGCCGAGCCGAGCTGTGTAAAAAGCTCGAATAGTTTCGAGTACTCGAGTTAATTCGAGTACTCGAGGGAATTCGAGTACTCGAATTTTTTCGAGCTCTGAGTAAATTCGAGTTCTAGAGAAAATTCATAGAATTTTCGCATTTATTATATTTAGCAAATAGAAATATTGATTCAGTAATTCAAAAAAATTCGAAATTTTTTACTTATTAATAGTTTTTTTAGTAAGTCAAAAGCTCGAATCCATTCGAGTACTCGAAAAATTCGAGTACTCGAATTCACTCGAGTGCTCGAATTTAATCGAGTACTCGAATTTACCCGAGTACTCGAATTTTTCGAGTACTCGAAGTCACTCGAGTACTCGAAAATTTCGAGTACTCGATACATCGAGCCGGCTCGGGCTCGGCTCGGCTCGGCCCGAAAAAATTTCGGCTCGGCTCGACTTTTCGAGCTTTTTGCACATCTCTACTTTTAATGCAATTTTAAATAAATTCTTCGAAAAATGTAATTAATTGCAAAAAATTTATTAAAATTTTTCGAAAGAAATAAATGAACAATTAACAATTATTTTTAATAATCTTTGCTAAAGTTCCTAGAGAATTTTCAAATTTACAATTCAATTTTACGAAATTTTGATTATTTGGTTATTCTTCAGTTAAATATTTAGAAAATAAAAAAAGCTTGCAATAATTTAAAAAAAAATTCAATTAAACTTTTTAAAAATACAATTATTTCTAAAAATCCACACCAAAATGCTTTTAATATTCAATTGTTATCTAAAATTTTAGCTGAAATTAAGTTTTAAAACAATTTTTATTAAAAAATTCTACGAGAATTCAATTATTTAATTATACAAAAATGAAAAAAATTGAATAAATGAATATTTCTCAAAATTGAATTCTCATAAAGAATTTTATCAATAAATTTTTTAGAGGAATTTTAATAAAATTTTTTAATTCAATTTTTTTATTTGAAATAAAACATTTTTCGAGGAATTCGGTTAAAATTGTATTATAAATAATTGAAATTCGATAATGAGTTTTATTAATTCATGAAAATAATTTAATCTCTTTAAAAAACTTTATTATTTACGAGAATAATTGAATTATTGCGAGGAAATTTATAAAAAATTTGTAAATAATTGAATTCTTGTGAATTTTTATTAAATTTTTTTTTAAATAATTGAATAATTTCTTTCGGAGAAGAATTTTATTATTTATAAAGATAATTGAAATTTTAACGAGAATTTTTTAAAAATTTTTTAACATAATTGAATTTTTGCAATTATTTGTAACCTCTTCAAATTGAATTCCTTTGAAATTTTTATTATTTATGAAAATAATTGAATTTTGGAGAAGAATTTTATTATTTTTAAAGATAATTAAAATTTTGACGAGAATTTAACAAAAATTTGTGAACATAATTGAATTTCTGCAAACATTTGTAACTTTTCTAAATTTCAATTTTTTTGGGGTTTTTAACTAAAATTTTTCCATAAATCCATGATTTTATAATAATTAATTAAATATTTATTAAAAAATTTAAATAAAACTAATTATGAATCCTGCAAATTAAATTTTTTCCAGTACTTCAATAAAAATACCTGACTTTTCCCTGACCAATTCTACTTTCCCTGACTTTTCCCTGAATTCACTGATTTCTCTGACCTATGGAAACCCTATTTTATTTTCATTATTATTATTAATATTGTCATAATTTTTATTTACTGCATTAATATTAATAGTAATAATAATATTTAGTTTAATAAAAATATTTTAATTTATTTGAACGATAAATTTATTTCAGCTGCATTGCATTTATATTACGCTCGTTTTATAAATCATTTTCTCCATTCGGAGGGTCTTGTTCCGACTAAAGAGCCTTTTAAGCAACTTTTAGTTCAGGGAATGGTAAAGGGTTTGTCGTTTCAAGAGAAAAAGAGTGGCAAGTACCTTAAAGCGGATCAAGTTGAAAAAATTGGTAAAGATTATTTTGAAAAGGAAACAAAACTTCCGGTTAAGAGTAAATGGGAAAAAATGTCAAAATCCAAATATAATGGCGTTGATCCTTCTGAGATGATTTCTAATTACAGTGCTGATACTGTGAGATTATTAATTCTTGGCGATGTTGCTCCGACGTCTCATCGAAATTGGTCAACGGACAGTGAGTAATTATTCTATTATTATTTCATTTTTAATTAAACAATTCAAAAATTAATCAATAATTCATTAATTTCTCTCTATTTTTCTTTTGACAAATTTCTATAATTTTGTTAAATTATTTTAGCTAAAATAAGAAGTATACTTTAAGTTTCTTTCTCTCCATTTTTGTACGAATTTCTATACTTTTTGTTAAAATTATATTTTACTTGGCTTAATAAAAAATGAATGAATTTATAAAAATTTATTAAAAAGTAAATAAATAGAATTTATTAATTTTATTCACCTTGTGAAAAATATTTACAGCGTTTCCTGGTATTTTAAACTGGCAGAAGAGACTTTGGTTGTTGGTGAAGGATTTTAGAAGATCTAGAATTGAATTAACTGAGGAAGAGTTAAGAACGAATCCAGAGGAAAAGCAATTTAAAGATGATGATTACTATATGTTTGATAGTAGAAATTATTATATTAAAGGAGTTACATTTAATATTACTGGATCGCAACAATTAAGTGTCGCGATATCAAAAATGCAAGGTCTTACAAACAGGTTCGTTTCAATGAAAATTTTCATTCACTTTATTGCAATTAATTTTTGATATTAAAATGATTATAAAATTTTTATCCAAACAGAAGGTAAAGTGAAATTTTCTTTTTTTTAGTTTACGAAAAGTATCGAAATTGTGTCTCGCAAGAAGTCCGCAATTCGAAAGGGCATTAGCCGTACAATTGATAATGTTAGCGCCGTTAGCTCCTCATTACGCATCAGAATTATGGTCAGGTTTTTGTTCTGCTCCTCATCGAATGTCAAACGACGAATCAATACAATGGGACAAAGATGTTCTTGAACAAAGTTGGCCACAAATTGATATGAATTATAATATGCGTTTGCGAGTTTTTGTAAGCATTTCCATCAGATAAATATTCGTATTACTTAATTTTTGTTTATTCTATTTTAATTATTTTATTCTAATCAGTTTTGTTAATAATTTTTTTATTTTATTCGTTTTATTTCATAAATATTATTATTTTTTAAATTTTAAATCATTTCTTCTCTTTTATCGCTTTATTACGAAAAGACGAAATATTTATTTAAATCTGAAACTTTTATTCGTAATTTATTCGACAATATATTAATTATATATTTACGAATTATTAATTTAACTATGATTTTAATAAAAATTTAAAATACTTAAAAATAAATAATCGCATTAATTTTCAGATGAATAATAGCAGTGCTGATTTAACTTTCGTAAAAATTGAGCGACAAGAATTAGAAGCTCTTTCCACTGAGCAGGCATTGGAATTGGTAATGAAAGAGCCAAAAGTTGTCAATTATTTGAAAACGAAAAAAATAACTGATGTCAATTTAGATCTTGAATCAGGTCGCGATGGAATCATCTACATTAAGACGCAAAAAATGGATCAGGTAATTGCGCAAGAAAGTGCAATGTAAGGCATTTATAAATTGTAAATTTGTAAATATATTTTTTTCTATTACATATACAGTGAATTAATTTAGTTGCCTTTTTCATTTACATAAAAATTCTTTAAAGAAAAGAAAAATACACTATTTTTTATATAGACCTAATTATTTTCAAAAATTGAATATTTTATTTAAAAAAAAACATCTTTTGAATTTAAGTATCGTGCGAAATTATTTTCGAAATAATTTATGTACTATTTAATTTAATTAGTACATATTTATGTAATAATTAGTATGTTGGATTTTTTTACTAATTAGTATATAATTAAACGTGATTTACAGAAGGAAATAATTTTACTTTTCGTTTGTTTGAGGATATTTGATATCAAGCTGGCGCATTTGAATTGTAGACTCTGTATATTTCCAATTTTTCGTGGAATTTGATGTCGGAGTTGCTGTACCGTTTATCAAAACTGTAGCTGAATATTCTTTACCATAAATATTTTGGATTATAAAGTTTGAATCTTTGTTTGGTCCCGATTTATTTTGTTTAGAATTAGCTTCCTTCAATTTTGTTTGTATTCTGTTTATTATAGAATCTGCTGTTGTGAAATTTGGGGCATTAGCACTAGGATTCGTGGCAGTTACGGTAGGAACGGATTCTTCTCTCTTTGGATTTGGTGTTGATTCTGCTTCTCCACTTGCTGATTCTTGCGCTACTGCTGCATCAACTTTGACTGGAGTCACTGTAGTCGTTTCGTTTTGATTCGATTGAACAATATCTGTAGCAGATGTTTCTTTCTTTTTCTCAATTTCTTCTTTATCTTTATTATCATCTTGCGTCGATTGGGTTTTGCTGGAATTATCAGCGTCTTTTACTGGTACTGGAGTTTCAAGTTCTGGAGTTACAGTCGAAGAGGATGCAGCATCACTGCTAGAATCAGCACCTGAAAGTTGTTTTTCCTCTTTAATTTCTTTTGTTTTTGAATCTTCTGTTATTACTTCTTGAGGTGCCTTACCTGAACTATTATCTGTCACAGCATGTTCACTTGCGGAATTAGCATTTTGATCAGTTAGTACTGAACTATTGTTAGAGGATCCATTCGTCTCCACACTTGTTGTTGGATTTACTTCTTCATTTGTTAGCTGTATGTTTGTAGCGACTGTAGTTCTACCTTCAGTATCTTGAGATTTATCTGCAATTTCTACAACTGTAGCAGCCGTGGTTACAACTGGGTCAACAGGTGTTGTGGGTTTACTACCAGATGATATTTCCTTTTCTGTACCTTCTACGGTTGAACTATTATTGTTTGCGTCACCTTTTTCAGAGTCAGAAATTAATTCTCCTTGCCTTTCTGTAGTAGACGAAGCATTTGTTTCTTCATTTGATGACAATTGAGGTGCTCCATTTGAATCACTTTCAACTTTAACATTAGTATCGGTTGAGAATTCCGGATCTGATGATACTGGAGTATCGTTGTTGGGACTAACGGTCGTAGTGGATGCAGCATCATTGCTCAAATCAGTTTTAGGATGTTTTTCGTCTTCCTGCGGTGGCTTATCTGAACTACTCTCGACCTGTACAGGTTCACTTGCAGAATTTTTATCATGATCGGTTATTTCTGAGTCAGTACTTTTGTCTGCTGCTTGTTTCTTTGCTTCGTTGACTGTATCATCAGTCTGCGTTCCTTTTGATTGTGTATTCATTGATGGATTGTTTTCTTCTATAGAACTCTGATTCGCAACAGTAACAGTTTCTTCTTCTTTTTTTGGAATCTGTTCTGAGCTTCCTGTAATTTGATCTTTTTCTACTACAGTATCTAGAACTGTAGATTCAGTTGTTGTAGTTTCAGCATTTGTAAGCTCTTCCTTCACATCTTGGTTAGAAGAAGTGTTGTTTAAAGTTGGTTCTTTTTCTACTACAGTTTCTAAAACTGTAGATTCAGTGGTTGTAGTTCCAATATTTGAAGGCTCTAGATCCACAACTTGGTTAAAAGAAGTATTATTTAAACTTGGTACTTTTTCTACTATAGGCCCTGGAACTGTAGATTCAGTGGTTGTAGTTTCAGAATTTGTAGTCTCTTGATCCACAGCTTGGTTAGAAGAATTGTTATTCAAAGGTGGTTCCTTTTCTACTACAGTTTCCAAAACTGTAGCTTCGGTGGTTGTAGTTTCAGCATTGCTAGAATTAGCTTCAGGAAGTTGTTGCTTTCCTTCAATTTCTTTTGACTTTGTTTCATCAGTTATTGCTTCTTGTGGTAGTTTATCGGAGCTACTCTCTACCTGTATAGGTTCACTTGCAGAATTTTTATTTTGATCAGTTATTACTGAAACATTATTAGGTGTTCCATTAGTAGAGGATCCATTCGCCTCCACAGTTGCTGTTGGTTTTAATTCTTGATTTGATGGTTGTGCGTTTGTAGCGACTGTAGTTTCACTGATAGTGTCTTGATTTTGATGTATAGTATTTACAACTGTAGCTGCTGTGGTTACAATATCATTTGCTTCTACTGCTATCTCCGTTGATATATTATTTCCTTGTTCAGAATTTTTATTCTCATCAGTAACAACTTCTTCATTTTTTGAAATAACTATAGGAACTGTAGAGACAGTAGTGGCAGATGCATGATCCACAACTTGATTAAATGAAGTATTATCTAAACCTGGTTCGTTTTCTACTTTAGTTTCTGGTACTGTAGAGTCAGTGGTTGTAGTTACAGTATTTGTAGAGACTTTATCCACAACTTGGTTAGAAGAAGTATTACTTAATGTTGTTTCCTTTTCTACTACAGTCCCTGGAACTTTTTCTTGTTTGTTATCCGCCTTCGTAGCAGATGCATCAACATTACTAGAGTTACCTTCAGGAAGTTGTTCTTGTTCACTTGCTGTTAGATCTACTACTTCATTTGCTGGTTGTATACTTGTAGTTATTGTAGTTCCTCCTTCAGTATTTTGAGTTTGACCAACAGTTTCTACAATTGTAGCTGCTGTGGTTACAATGACACCTGCGTCAACAACTAATGTAGGTTCACTACCAGATGATACATCCTCTTTTACAATTTCCACTTCCGTACTCTTATCATTTTCATTTGACAGATTGGCTCCATTTGAATCATCAGTCTGCGTTCCTTTTGATTGTGTATTCGTTGATGCATTGTTTTCTTTTTCAGAACTCTGATTAGCATCAGTAACAGTTTCTTCTTTTTTCGGAATCTGTTCTGAATTTTCTGTAGTTTGTTTATTCTCTTCAGAACCACCACCAAACCTATTAACTATTGGAACTGTAAATTCAGTAGTCGTAGAATCAGAATTTGTAGGCACTTGCTTCACAACTTCGTTAGAAGAAGTATCATTTAAACTTGGTTCTTTTTCTAATACAGTCCCTGGAACTGTAGATTCAGTAGTTGTAGTTTCAGAAATTGTAGGCTCTTGATCCACAACTTGATTAGTAGTATTGTTTAAGGTTGGTTTCTTTTCTACTGGAGTTTCTAAAACTGTAGATTCAGTGGTTGTAGTTCCAGCATTTGTAGGCTCTTGATCCACAACTTGGATAGAAGAAGTGTTGTTCATAGTTGGTTCCTTTTCGACTACAGTTCCTGAAACTGTAGATTCAGTGGTTGTAGTTTCAGCATTTGTAAGCTCTTCCTTCACATCTTGGTTAGAAGAAGTGTTGTTTAAAGTTTGTTCCTTTTCGACTACAGTTCCTGGAACTGTAGATTCAGTGGTTGTAGTTTCAGCATTTGTAGGTTCTTCCTTCACATCTTGGTTAAAAGAAGTATTATCTGAAGTTTGTTCTTTTTTTACTATTGGTTTTGGAACTGTAGAGACAGTGGTCGTTGGCGCTTCATCTACAACTTGGTTGAAATAAGTATTATTTAAACCTGGTTCGTTTTCTACTTCAGTTTTGGATACTTGATCCATAACTGGGTTAGAAGAATTATTATTTAAATTGGGTTCCTTTTCTACTATAGGTGTTTTTGGATCTGATGTTACTGGAGTTTCTTGTTTGGTATTTTCCGTTGTAGTAGAACCTGAACCACCCTCTACCTGAGCAGGTTCACTTCCAGAATTAGCGTTTTGATCAGTTACGACTGAACCATTATCAGCAGATCCATTGTTAGAAATTGCATTCGCCTCCACAGTTGTTGTTGGTTTTACTTCTTCTTTTGGTGGCTGTATGTTTGTAGCTACTGTTGTAGCACCTTCGGTATCTTTTGTTTGATCCACAATTTCTACAGTTGTAGCTGCCGTGGTTACAATGTCGCTTTCCTGAAAAATAATTGTGCCATGGGTAACTGATAATGTATCCTCTTTCTTAATTTCTGTTTGTGTACTCTCTACGTTGGAACTATTATTTTTTGCGTCAGCTTTTTCAGCCTCGAAATTTGATTCTTCTTGCCTTTCTGTAGTGAACGCAGTATTTGTTTCTTTGTTTGATGACAATTGTGGCGCTCCATTTAAGTCACTTTCAACTTTAACATTAGTTTCGGTTGTGGATTCTGGAACTGATGGTACTGGAGTATTGTTGTTGGGACTTACGGTCGTAGTGGATGCAGAATCATTGCTGGAATCAGTATTAGGATGTTTTTCGTCTTTCTTGATCTCTTTTTCTTTTTCCTGTTGTGGCTTATATGAACTGCTCTCTATTTGTACTGGTTCACTTGCAGAATTTTTACTTTGATCGGTTGTTGCTGATCCACTGTTCGAGTCTCCATTCGTTTTGCCATTTTCTGTTGAGTTCACTGCATCGTCTATAGCAGCTAATTTAGTTGCAGTGTTTGTAGCCAATGTTGTCGCATCCAGTTTTGAAGATTCAGAATTCAATGATGGTTTTTCTTCAACCGGAGTTTCTGTAACACTTTCGTTTTCTGTATTTACACTTGGCGTAGTTCCTTTATCATTAGAATCAGTGCTTAATGATACATTCTCTTTCTTAGCTTCTGTGTCAGTACTTTTATCTGCAGTTTGTTTCTTTGCCTCGTTGCCTGTAATTTTTTCAGTTTCGTTCAAAGAATCATCAGTCTGCGTTCCTTTTGATTGTGTATTCGTTGATGCATTGTTTTCTTCTTTAGAACTCTGATTCGCATCAGTAGCTGTTTCTTCTTCTTTTTTTGGAATCTGTTTTGAATTTTCTGTAGTTTGTTCATTTACTTCATTACCACCACCAAACCTATAACCTATTAGAATTGTAGATTCAGTGGTTGTAGTTTCAGCATTTGTAGGCTCTTGATCTAAACCTTGGTTAGAAGAAGTGTTGTTTAAAGTTGGTTCCTTTTCTACTACAGTTTCTAAAACTGTAGATTCAGTTGTTGTAGTTACAGCACTTGTAGGCTCTTGATACACAACTTGGTTAGAAGAAGTGTTGTTTAAAATTGGCTCTTTTTCTACTACAGTTTTTAAAACTGTAGATTCAGTGGTTGTAGTTTCACTTGTAGAATTTTTATCATGATCGGTTATTACTAATCCATTGTTCGAGTCACCATTTTTTTTGTTATTTTCTGTTGAGTTCAATCCCTCATCTGTAGAAGATAATTTAGTTTCAGTACTTGCAGTATTTGTAGCCACTGTAGTCGCATCTTGGTTTGAAGATTCATTGTTTAATGATGGTTCTTTTTCATCTGGTGTTTTTGTAACACTTTCATTTTCCCTATTTACACTTGAAGTAGTTTCTACATCATTAGGATCAGAGCTTGATGGTGCATCCTCTTTCTTAACTCCTGCATCTGTACTTGGATCTTCCCTTTGCTCCTTTGCTTCGTTGACGGTGGTTTTTTTATTTTTGTTCAAGGTATCATCAGTCTGCGTTCCTTTTGATTCTGAATTCATCTCTGTTTCTAATTTTTGATCAAACGAATAGGCTTTGATAACTCCCGAATGATCGTTATGGTACATCAATGATCGGATTACTGGCATTCTAAGAAATGATTTCAATTGGAAGAATCCAATTTTCCACAATATCCAATTGGAAATTTTATTTTCAACATCATAGAAATTAATCGGTTCTCCAATTTTTGGACTTACGAGAAATGATCTAACCCAAGTTTTTAATTGTAGTCTAGTTATTTTAATATCAAAGAAATCATGATTATATTTATAAATAAAATCAATAAACATTTCTGTTAAATTTTTCTTCTCACGAAAGTTGATTCCAGTTTTGTCAAATAATTTAAAACTATTGCTAACATTTGTTAATAAATTTATTTCAAAATCGGCGAAATTCATTGAAAATTTATCAAGTACGGAATTTGTAGTAATTAAATCCAATGGAAAAATTTTATCAAAATTAATTGTCGTGTATTCAGTGATTTGTTGAGAAATATCGTAATAATTGATTCCGTTTGAGCCTCTAAAGTGAAAATTATTTTTCAACAAAATATGAAGAATGTAATGTTGTAAAAGCATTGATTGCAATTTTGGCATATTGGGATATCTAATTAATATTGTCTTCATTATATTATCAACTGCCACTAATAGAAATTCTTCCTTATTGAGTTTATTCTGAATGAAATATTTCAAATCGTTTAGTACATCAATTGTTAGGAACATTTGATACGCAATTTTATTCACATCTTTTATTATTTTATCGAGTTGTCTTTTAAAATTGTACTTTTTAATAATTTTATCAATAGATGCATTTAATTTATGTGTATCATCAATATCAATGTCATTTCTTATTTTCAACAGAAATTCTACAATGAAAAACTTTAATGCTTGCTTTGAGGCTAAACAATGTTTATTTAATTGAATTTTATTATAGAGTAATTGTTCAAATTCAATTGTTCCAACTTTTTCAACAATCGTATAATTATTATTGTCGGATAAAATTTTTTCTACTGCTTTAGCAATTTCCTGAGAAATATTTATTATATTTTGCTCCTCATTCCAAGAACCATCAGTATTATAACCACTAAATGTACTGTCGGCAATTTTAATAATTTCATTTTTTGCATTTGACGAAAGATTACCTTTTGTTTCTTCAATAGTTTCAATTATCACATTTTTTAATGTTAAAAATTTCTCATTTTGATGATCCTTCAATCTTTTTTGGAGATTCTCGTGTAAAATGTTGTTGTTGGTGTTCTTGTTGTTCTCTTCTAAATTTTTAATCACTGGCCCTCCTTTCACGAGTTCTGAAAGTTAATTATTAAATTAATAATATAAAGTTAATTATTTATTAAATGTAATTTTAATTTTGTTAAAATTACTTTAGAATTTTTTTAACCACAAAAGTAATTATTATAAATTATTAAATTTAATAATAATTTGGAAATAATATTAAATAATAATTAATTGTTATTTAATTTTAATTGGTAATTAATAATTTTAAATAAATTATTTTTACCTGGACGAAAGGAGAAGAAAATAATAAGGACAAAGAGTCCAATAATTTTTGAAGCACACATGATTACATATCTTTGGAAAAAACTGTCATTTTTTGAACAATGATTCCTTAAATAGTAAATCCCCCCTTCTACTAATAGATTAATAGAATAATAAACACGAGTGAATTTAAAATTTGATAAATTCAATTATGTGCGAAGAAATTTAAGACTATAAGGTATTAAAGAAATAAAATAAAACGATAAGAAAGTTTTATTGACACATTATAGTTTAAATTAATAATATTAACTAATAAAATGAAAACGATTACTTGAAAGTTCAGTGGAAGAAATATAAACAGTTAAAAATAGAAAAAATCATAATAAATGAAAATATTTGTTCTTTTAAAATATTTGCAGGTAAAGAATTGGATACAATACAATATTTATAATTAATTGTAATATAATTAAAGACGAAGAAAATTATATTTACAGAAAAGGAAAATTAATATGTTCAAGAAAAATATTTTCTTATGTAACAATAATCTTTATTGTATTGAACAAAAGTAAATATACTTTTTCCTTAAAGTTTTCCATCTTGAATTTCCGTTCCACACAAGCGATTTCAATTTATATTATCTACTTTTTTAAAGTAGTGTAATAAAAATTAAAGAAAAATGAAAACCTCATCTCTATAAATAAAAATCAATGAAAAATTAAAAATCTTAGATATTGAATAAAATATCGATTTTGTGTTTTGGAAAAAATTTAATGATAATTTTATATATTCATATAGAAAATAATAATAATAATTATAATAATACTACTAATAATTAATAAATAATTTAATATGTAGCAATTAAAAGTTCAGTGGGCTTAGTGGTATTTATATGATATTGAAAGAATTAAAAAAAAGATGATTAGATAAACTAAGATTTTATCGGATTTACAATCAAAACTTTGGATTAAACAATGACTCTTGTTATAAAAATGATTTTGCAATAAAAAAATAAATACTATATTCTAGTAAATAAATCATTTCAAAGCAACTGTTACCGACAATGTTAAAAAAAATGTTAGTGCGAGTAAGAATTTATCATTTATAATTATTTTGTCTCTTGATTTTTGTCTAATTGAAGTTTTTTAGGCCTCTTGAATTAATTCTTAATTATGTTATAATTAATTATTATAAATATAATTATTCCTTAATTAATAATAAAAATATATTAATGGTAATTATTAAAATTATTATTTTTTCCATTTTTAAATTCATTTCTATTTTCTTTTTTCTTTTCATTTTCATTTTCATTTCCTTTATATATTTTTGTTTTTATTTTTTCATTTTTATTTTCATTTAAATTTTCATTTTCATGTTCTCATTTTTAACTATTGTTATTTTCCTTGAAATAAATAGAATACAAAATAAAAAAAAAGTGTTGAAGTAATTTTTTTTTTCAAACGAACAATCGTCTGATGTTTCTTCAGTTCTGATAAATTCTACATAACAATAATAATAAATTAAAAATTAAAATTCGCGATAATTTTTACGCGATAAATGCGATTCGGGCATTAGTGTATATATATAAAGAATTTAATCGAATTATAATTGGTAAATACGCAATCGCAAACGAGTCACGCAAAAAAAAAAAGACTCATTAAAGTATATAATTATACACCTATAAGTTTTATTGTATAATTATTTTACAATTTCACAATGTTCTTTTATAAAATATGTTTATTTATATTATATGAGGTGTTATTAAATAGGTTCTTTTTTAATGTAAATTGATTTTATTTAATTTAATTAAGTTTGACAAAAAAATTGATACTTTTTTCAAATGTAATTAATGAATATTAGTTACATTTACTATAAATTAATAAATTAATTATTAATTAATTATTAATTAATAGATAAATATCAATTATTAATCGATATAATTATTATTACGCGAATCTTATGATCAACGTGGAATGTTTATAAATTAATTAATTAAACTTCACATTATTGAGATTATTAATAATTAAATAAGAAATACAAACAATAAATTGTTTTCTATTATTATAAACATAATAAAGAATGAATAAAAAAGGGATAAACATATTTTAAAAAATGTTTTGAAAATTCGTGAAACAAATTGAAACATTAAATTTTTCTGAGGTGAAAAAAAATGAATTTATAAAATAAAAAAAGTGAATATTTTTTTTTAGTGAAATATTGTCAGTAACATGTGTAAAAGCAGATTCACCACAACGAAAGGGTTATCTACTTTTTGATTTCAAATGGCCAACCCTCAACACTGTGTTTGGGGTTATCGCAGCGACACTCATGCATTTTATATTATAATTATATATACAAAGATATTTTCGTCTTATAAAAAGGGGACATAAGTCTGGATACCATTCCAGTATTTCACTATGTCTCTTACAATTAAAATGATTGTCAATTGTTTTTTTAGTCGTGAATTATTTTTAACGGTTACCATCAGTTGCATTCAATTTTTATCAAGAAATTCCCTCATGGATTTTGGATAAATAATATATAATTATAATATTATAATAGTGTGAACAAAATTTTACATCGCGAAAATAAAATTAGGAAACAAAAATCAATGTCACTGATTTGAGATATTTTCGAGTTTTATTATAAAAATGTGTATTTTTTTAGATTTTATTCAGATTCTTGTTTTTTCTAAATCTAGGTTTTTCATTGTTATTTCGAATGCAGTCGCAGGTTTGTTGATTTTATTATGGATATTTTTTAAATAAAAAAAATAGTTAACATTATTTTTTAAATATTTTTATTTATTATTTGCTTTCTGTTAAAAAGCGGTTTTTTAAAAAAGTATTTTGCAATAATTGGGCTTTTTTATTAAAAAATAATATTTATTACTGTTATCTTTCGAATAACTTTGAAAAATAAATACAATTTTAAATTAGTCTCTGGAATAATAAAATAATTTAATAAAACAATATGTAAAATAAAATACTCGATAAAATGAATAATTAGAAGAAATATTAATACTTAAATTATAATTATTATTAAAATCTTTTAAATAATAAAAAAATATAATTCTTTTTTATAAATTAATTTCAAAAATAATTTTTCTACATTTGAATAACTTTAATAAAAAAAAATAGAATTGTAAATTTGGCAGAGTTCTTTGAACAATAAAGTAGTTTAATAAAACAATAAATCAAATATAATGAATAGTGTTGGAAGAAATATTAATATTTAAGGACATTTGAACCATTATGTCGTCACAATTATGAAAGCATTTGTTTTAATAATATTTAAATAATAAAAAAAATAATTCTATTTTTTGCGAAATTAATTTCAAAAGAAGAAATAATTTTTCTACATTTGAATAACTTTGATAAAAAAAAAATAGAATTGTAAATTAGGCAGAGTTCTTTGAATAATATAATAATTTAATAAAACTATAAGACTATAAAATTTAAATAATATAAAAATTATTCTAGTTTTTGCGAAATTAATTTCCAAAGAAGAAATAATTTTTCTACATTTGAATAACTTTGATAAAAAATCGAATTTTAAATTAGGCAGAGTTCTTTAATTTAATAAAGCAATAGATAAAATAAAAAATTGGAAGAACTATTAATATTTAAGTTAGATCTATTATTAATACTCTCTAAATAATAAAAAAATAATTCTAGTTTTTTTCGAAATTAATTTCGTCAGAAAACATAATTTAGCTATTCCACTTGAATAACTTTGATATATAAATAGAATTGTAAATTAGACAGAATTGTTTAGTTTAAGGAAGGAGTAAAAATAAAATAAATAAAATATAGATGAGAAGAAAATAAATAAAATAAAATAAATTGAATTAAATTAAAAAGTAGTAAATAAAAATAGGTCATGTAATAATAAATAAATAATAAAGTTTTAAGTAAAACAATTTGATTTCTAATTGAAATTTCTTTCAGCTGTGATAACTGAAGTTGGAAAATGAGGAAGAAAATTTTTTTTTTTCATAGACAGGAAGGAAAATGTAAAAATCAATATTCTCATTTGGAAGGAATTTTCAACGTATGAGTGCGAGTTTCCTTTTTATTAAAAAGGTAGGTAACGACTGATGGGAACACCTCAATTTTAAATTAATGTTCTCTTTGGTTGTTACCACCAGCTCATCACATGGTCCAGATGATCAACTTCCATTCAAGGCCAGAAAGAATCTTCTTCACCAAACGACGTCTTAATTAAATTTCACCTCAAGCGCAGAAAAACAATTCAAAGATGGAAAAAAATTATGAACAAAATTATGAAGATTTTAAGGTATTTATTTATATACGGTATACAAATTTATTATTTTTTTCTTTTCATAGATTATTTTAATTATATCAGAAAAATAATTTATTTTAATTATTATTTATTTATTTAACAGTCTTATAAAGTAAAAAAAAATTTTTTAAGTTGTATTATTGTATTGTATTTAATATATTATAGTGTATTATGTTATAATTCTAAATCATTTATCTTTCAATTATTTTCTAAAATTAATATACCTAGTTAGAAAAATTATTCTCCGTTAGGAATAATTTTTTATAATAATAATAATTAACACTCGATTAAAATAAAATTATAGTAAATAAAATAGAAAAAGAATAAAAAATTAATTAATTATAATTTAATAAAAGTACGGAAAATAATTAATTTAATGGATAAGGAGAATAAAAAGATTCAATGAAATATTTAAATATTAAAATTTAACATTTAATTTAATAAAAATATGTGTATAATTTATTATAAACAATTTTTCATGTAATTATATAGTTAATTAGATATATCTAAAATTTACTTTTCAATTTTTAATATATATGCGTTTCACATAATTAATTAATCTATAATTTTTTAATATATGAAAAATGAAGTAAAGAAATTTTTCTTTTAAAGTTTAATACTTGATTGCTTTGTATTATTTCGAAGATAATCGATGTAAGAAGATATGAGATCATCCATTTTATAGCCGAGTAATGTTTCGCAGAGAATTTTTTTACCCTTCATAAAATTTCCAATTGTCATGTGAAAATATGTATTGCCAGACGACCAATTTGATAATTCATTGAAATTATAAGTGGCGAGAATATCTTTCGTTCTTGGATCAATCACACTAATTCCATTTCGATTCACTGCTATTAATACTAATTCTGGAAAACTTGGTTCAGTCGTTTGTTTCACTTCAAAGAATGCCGATCCAAATGTTGGCCATTGATAAATGTGCTGGAGAAATTGTCGTTTCGCTTCAAGTTCCGTCATTCCTGATAGGAAAATAAAAAAAAATATTGTTTTTTCTTTTATTTGTTATTAATTTTTATTTTCTACTTTTGTTATTTATTTATCTTCATTAATTTTATTCATTTTCAGTTTTTATTTCTTTTTCTTATTATTACTAATTTAAATTACTATAACTAAATTACTAATTTACTAATTATTTACTAATTAGCGAATTCATTATTTAAGTGGATTGCAGCTACAAAATTAATGATTTTCTTTTTTCTTCTTTATTTATTCTCGAAAATTGAAAAATATATTTCAGATTGTCGTTTTAAATTAAATCAAGAAACTAAAATTATTAAATGGAAAGATTAATAAATTGCAAAAATTTTTATAATTACCAGTTTGTTGATTGTAAGAAGACACGATTTGTTTTTTCCAATCATTGGAGCTCATTAGATTAATTATATCAGGCGGAATGTACTCCTTAAGTTTGTGTCTGAAGAAGAGATAAATATTTTAAATTATTCGCAATTTTTTGCACAACTCGATTACTTTTATTAATAAAATGTTGAAAAATAAAAAATAATTTTAATTATCCGCAATACTAAATCTATTAGTTTTAATTTATTAATTTATTTCATATAATTATTAATTGAAATGAAGTAATTAATTTCATTTTATTAATTAAAAATAAATTTAAATGCGAATAAAGAATTTAATTAATTTTAATTTAATTAAAATTTTATTATTAATCGTAATTTTATTGTAAGTAAAATAAAAATTTTTCTATAATTTAATAAAATTTCTTTTTCTTAATTTAATTAAAATTTAATGTAATTTAATTGTTATAATAATTCTTACGGTATTTCCGTGAGTTCGGCTTTATTATCGCCGTATTTACTTCGATAAATTAAAGCGCCAAGTTTAATTGCATCGTGTTTGCTGCATTTATGATAGCCACGCAAAAGTTTCGGTAATTCCTGATGAAAATAAAATATAGAATCGGCATTCTCATCTCTACCAGGTACAGCATTTATCCACAATTTTTTCATGAAAAATATTTGATATTGCGCCTGTACAGTTCCAATATTTGGTCTCGATCTCTTCACCCATTCAACCAGTTCGTGAACAAAATCGAAGAAGAAATAATAAAGTGGCACTGAGAAAAATTTATCAGCAATTTTCACAAATAAACTAAATCCATCTGAACCTTTTAGTCGAAGACTCGATACAATATCTTCACAAACATCTGACGCCCTTGTTGATGAGTGGATCTGTTTTTTTGGTGGAGGAGTAATTAATAATTTTCAGTTAATTTTTTGGAAAAAGGATTTAAATTGATAAATTGATTATTAATATTAATTATTAATTATTAATTAACACTTTATAGTAATTAGTTAATAATTAACACTTCATAGTAATCAATTTGTATTATTATTAATAAATAGGTATTGTTAATTATTAATTAGTAATTAATTAACTACTAATTAACCACACCTAATAATTAGTGATAAACACTTTATAATAATCAATTTGTAATTATTATTTAATTAATAGATACTGTAAATGGTTAATTAGTAATTAAGTAATAATGACCACTAATTAACATACCTAATAATTATAATTAATAATTATTAATTAACACTTCACTATCTTCAATTTGTAATTATTATTAATTAATTAATACTTTTATAATAAAATTAATAATTATTGTTTAACTCTTGATAATAATTAATAATTATTAATCAAACATCTTATAATAATCATTATTAATTAACACTGATAATAATAACAATTTAATAATTATTTCTGATTAAAATAATTCTTTGCTAATTTAAAATCTGTTAATTGGAATAATAAATATTGAAGTGAGGAATAAAATTGGCAATTGTACCTCGATAGCTTCGTCGGAGTCGTCGGGAAAATAGACTTTGTGATAAATTTGCAAGCTTTTGAATCTAATTGCCTCCACTTCGAGTATGTAGGGTGGATACTTTCTGTTCCCAGTTTTCATGGTTCTGTCCAAACGATTCAAGCAATCAGCCGCTAAAATACTTGTTCTCGTTGTTAGAAATTGAACAATTTCCTTGTTCAAATTTGGATTACAGGTCATGACACCTGTTGCCAACCACAACAATTCCCAGCCACGTTCCTCACTTAATCGGATTCGATTTTCTGTTAATTGCCTCATAATTTGACAATAGACTTCATCGCGAAGGAGAGGCTGTAATTTTTAATTTTTTTTTTCTTTTCTTATTAATTATATTATTAATTGATACCTATACTGATAATTTAATTCTTTTTTGATCTCTTTTACTAATAAATAATAATATTAACTATAATAATAGTTCATTTATATTTCTTCTTCAATGTCTTCTAATAATTTTGATGATAATGATTGGACAATAAGACCAAAGAAATAGAATAGGGATGAATAGAAAAAAATAGAAATTAGAGTAAATTTGAGAAAATTGAAGAAAGTTGAGGAAAATTGAGGAAATTGAGGAAACTGAAGAAAGAAAAAAACAGAGGCAAGTTTGAGAAAGTTTGAGAGAATTGGAGAAAATAGAGAATTCGTAAAAAGTAAAGAAAAGTACAAAATTAAAAAATCGAAATTTCAGAAAATTGAAGAAATTGAAGAAATTTGAAGAAAATAAAAAATAGAGACAAAGAGCGAATTGAAAAAAAGAAAATAGAAAAAATATAAATTAGAATAAACTGAGGAAAATTGAGGAAAATAAAAATTGAAAAAATAGAAAGTAGAGAAAATTGAAAGAGTGAAAATTGAGGAAACTGAGGAAACTGAAGAAAGAAAAAAACAGATGCAAGTTTGAGGAAGGTTGAAAAAATTGGAGAAAATAGAGAAATCGTGAAAAGTAAAGAAAAGTACAAAATTAAAAAATCGAAATTTGAGAAAATTGAAGAAATTGAAGAAATTTGAAGAAAATAAAAAATAGAGACAAAGAGCGAATTGAAAAAATATAAATTAGAATAAACTGAGGAAAATTGAGGAAAATAAAAATTGAAAAAATAGAAAATAGAGAAAATTGAAAGAGTGAAAATTGAAGAAATTTGAAGAAAATTGAGGAAACTGAGGAAACTGAAGAAAGCAAAAAACAGATGCAACTTTGAGAAAGGTTGAGAAAATTGGAGAAAATAGAGAAATTGTAAAAAGTAAAGAAAAGTACAAAATTAAAAAATCGAAATTTTAGAAAATTGAAGAAATTGAAGAAATTTGAAGAAAATAAAAAATAGAGACAAAGAGCGAATTGAAAAAAAGAAAATAGAAAAAATATAAATTAGAATAAACTGAGGAAAATTAAGGAAAATAAAAAATGAAAAAACTAGAAAGTAAAGAAAATTGAAAGAGTGAAAATTGAAGAAAATTGAGGAAATTGAATAAAATAAAATTGGAAATACAAAAAAAGGAAAAAGTAAAAAATTGAGAAAATTGGAAAAATAGAAAATAGAAAATAGAGAAAATTGAAAAAATAGGAAATAAAAAAAAAAATTAGAAAACAGAAAAAATAAGTAAATAGAGAAAATAAATTCAATCATTTAAGTATACTAACATGTTCAAGTGCAGGTCGGAAAATTTGATCAGTGTATTCAGTTCCATTTTTCGGCCGATTACTTGGAAGATCGCCCATGTATTTCAAGATATTGGAAAATATATTAACAGCATGTTGTGCGAGATCATTTTGTTCGACGAGTTTTGTGAGTAGTGGCGCTTTTATTGGCTCCCTCGTATGTTTCCATAATGTTTCCGACGCCGTACGTTTCGCCGTCGAAATACTCGATCCACGGGAAATCGTCACATTTATTCCCGGACGAAAATGTTCAGCCGCATATTTTTTCAACGTGTGCTGAATTAATTTCGATTTCACTGCTTTCGCCTCGCGAATAGAATTCGTCTTGCCAGTGAAGTCTGCCTTAAATATTTCCTGAAAAAATAATTATTACAAAAAATATAATTATAGAAATTTTTTTCTCCTTCACTGTGCATTCGTATTAATATTATAACTAATTAATAAATTAATTAACTAAGTATTATTTCACTAATGATTAATTAACTAACTATATAATTAATCAATTAACTAAGTCGTATTATTTCACTACTGATTAATTAACCAACTATATCATTAATTAACTCCTAATTAAAAAGATAAGCGTATTTAGTTAACTATGTATTCTCTAATTAGTAATTAGATAACAATATTTAATTAACTACTGATTAATTAGTTAACTGTGATTAATTAACTACTATTTAATTAGTTTACTGCAATTAATTAACTACTACTTAATTAGCTAACCGTATTCTGACTAATTTATTAATTAGATAACAATATTTAATTAACTACTGATTAATTAACTACTAACTAATTAGTTAACTGCAATTAATTAACTGCTACTTATATAGCAAACCATATTTAATTAACTATATATTAATTATTAAGTTACTTTGAAAAAAGGTCAGTAAAGTCAGTAATTTGATTGAGAAAAGACGAAAAGTTGGTAAATTGTACGATATAATTTGGAGAATTTTAGAGAAATTACAAATGATTGTAGAAATTTAATTATTTTCCAAAGAAAATAAAAATTCTATGCAGAAATTTAATTGTGTTCAAAAATTTTCAAAATTCTCGTCAAAATTTCAATTATCTTTAGAAATAATTAAATTCCTCTCCGAAATTCAATTATTTTCAAAACATTTAATAAAATTCTTGGCAAAATTTCAATTATTTTCAAAAATTTTCCTCAATTCAATGATTTTTAATATCTTCTATTTTAATAAAAATTTCCAAAAGAATTCAATTATTTAAAAAAAAATTGAATAAAATTCTACGCAAACCTTTAATTATTTTCATAAAATAATAAAAACTTCACAGGAATTCAATTATTTACAAATTTCTTTAAAATTTCTTCGCAATCATTCAATTATTTTCATAAATAATAAAATTTTTATAAGAATTCAATTATTTTCGTAAATAATAAAATTCTTTTTAGGAATTCAATTATTTTCTTAAATATTAAAACTCATTGCAGAATTATTTCAATTATTTTTAATACAATTTTAATCAAATTCCCCCAAAAATGTAATGATTTTTAAATATTTTATTAAAATTCGTCAAAAGAATTCAATTATTTAAAAATTTGTTGATAAAATTCTTTTTGAGATTTCAATTTAAAGAAACATGCAATATTATTCAATAAATTGTTTTTTTGTATTAAAAAATAATTTAATTCTAGTAGAATTTTTTAATAAAAATTAATTTAATAATGGATTTCAGTTAAAATTCGAGGTAAAATTTGAATATAAAAATTAAAAAGTATCAGAACGTGAATTTTTAAAATTAATTGAATTTTGAAAAGGTTTCAAATTAAAATCTTTGAAAATTTCATATCATTGCTGAATTTCAATTATTTTTAACACAATTTTAATCGAATTCCTAGAAAAAAGTAATTAATCTCAAAAATTTTATTAAAATTTGTCAAGAGAATTCAATTATTTAAAAATGTTTTTGATCAAATTCTTTATGATAATTGAATTTTAAGAAAAATTCAATTATTCAATAAATTATTTCTTTTTGTATTAAAATAATTGAATTCTAGTAGAATTTTTTATTAAAAATTAATTTAAAAATGAATTTCAGTTGAAATTTTGTAATTAAATATTAAAAGCTCAATATAGCGCGAATTTTAAAAAATAATTGAGTTTTGAAAATTAAAAATTAATAAAAAAATAAAATTAAAAACATTAAAAATAATGCATTTATAGAAGAAATTTAATTGAAAACTCGAAAAAAAATTTCAATTTTGGCTACAGTTACAAATTATTGCGGAAATTCAATTATTTTCAAGAGTAATAATATTCTTCGCAAAAATGAAATATGGTTCAAAAATAATAAAATTTCAAAAGAATTCAATTATTTAAAAATTTGTTAATAAAATTCTTTATGGGAATTGAATTTTAAGAAACATTGATTTATTCAATAAATTATATATTATTGTATTTAAATAATTGAATTCTAGTAGAATTTTGTAATAAAAATTGATTTAAAAATGAATTTCAGTTGAAATTTTACATTATAATTGAATATTATAAGCAATATAGCGTGAATTTTTAGAAATAATTGAATTTTAATTAATTTTTTTGAAAATGTTTTCTAATATATATTTAAGTGAAGAATTTACGAATAATTGAAATTTCGTAAAATTGAATATTGTAAATAAATGGATTTGAAAATTGTTAAAGAACTTTTTCAAAAATTATTAAAAATAGTCGATTTACAGAAGAATTTTAGTTAAAAATTCTGAAAAATAATAATTTAATTGATAATGATTTTATCACTCCGCCAAAAAAACATGAAGAAATCGATCACTCCGACTCGAAGACTCGGAATCATCCATTTCTTTATGATTTATATTTATGGATTAAGTAATTAACTATAATTTACTGAACTATTGATTAATTAGTTAATTGTGATTAATTAATTAGTAATAATAATTAATTAACAATTAATTAATTAGTTTACAATGATAACTAATTAACAATTAATTTATTATTATAAATAGGTAATTAATTATAAAAATAATAATTCAACTAGCTAACGGATAATAAATTTATTAGTAGAGTTAATTTTCGGTTAATTTTTTCATGAAAACTATTTTTTCTTCTTTTCTTAATTTAAAACTCACAACAATTGTTGAAGTTGGTTTCGTCATTGTTGGAAGAACGTAGACGCAGTCTGATGGAAAATCGCCTTTGACACCTGATTTTTCGCCGTAGCCCCAAACTGAATTCATTATTGTATATCCATTACAATCGCCAGCAAGTTTTATCAAATCACCTCGTTGCATTGGTAGAAATGATTCACCTTCACCTGCTGTATTTTTTTTATTATTGAAAATTGTTTTTTTTTAAATTTTTATATTTTATTTTATTACTATATTATTATTGGGAATAATTTAATTAATCCTATACCGTCATTATTCATGTAATCCTGAGTTGCGACAACATATAGTGATTTCTCCTTTAGACCGTCAATTAGAAAATTAATTAAAGTAGCAAGATCCTCAGCTTCCGAACTTAGAAATATGTATTCTTCTCGTTGTATTGTCGACAATATGAGATTGTGTATAAAAGCATTGTTCATTCTGAAAATTAATTAATCCAAAAACCAAACATTATTCATAATAATAATAAAAATAATACTAGAAATAAAATTATTATTAACTAAATAATTAATTAAAATATATATAAAAATAATAATGATTTATGATTAATAATTATTTAATTAAAATTAATTATTAATTAATAATAAAAGATATTAAATAATAATGAAGCGATTATTGTATTATTATTATTTAATTGCCAATACTGAAAATTTTAATATTTTAATTTTATTTGGAGAATAAAATACAGAAATTAAAAAAAATTATTAAATACTACAATTACTTTTGACAGGTGACTTCAGCAATTTCAGGAAAAGATAATTCCAAAAGAAGAGTTTCCTGACTATCAATGAGATAGACACCGGTCCAATTCACAGCAATAATAACATCATTTGTCGCTAATTTTGGTCCCGATATTTTGGAAACTTCATAGAATTTTGAAAAAAGAATTGGCCAAGTTATTTTCGAAAATGAGACAATATCTTCTTTCGCCTTCACAGGTGGTGCATTATCATTAACATTTATGTTCTGCGCATGAAAATTGAGTTAAATATAGAAATAAATCATTTTTTTTTAAATAGAAAAAAAAATTCAGTGTTAATTATTTTTCAACAACCAAAAGTCATTTTTTTTTAAATAGAAAAAAAAATTTTTCAGTGTCAATTTTTTTTCTTTGTTTTAGTGGAACATTTTATCGAGCATATATATATAAATCACACAGTACCTTCTGAAAAGCTTTGGCCACCAGTTGCTCCCATTTTGGGAGAACATTTTCAGAGACCCCATGGAGCAAGTGTTTAGGAATAGAAAGAGGTAGCGCGCTCCTCAAATTCGCAGGAGTCAAATTATTCTGGTGGTCCACGTACAATTGGTGTGCCACTATCATTGCTATATCGTTTTCCTGCGTTTTGTTATTAATTTTATTATTACAATAATAATATTGATAATATTGAAAATATTGAATTAAAAATTTTTTTCTTTTTAAGAATAAACATTAATTTTTGAATGATTACAGATTGAAAATTTAAAGAAGTCACTTATTAAGTACATAATATTAAATATTCTTGTTCAAATAATTTTACATCCGTTATTATAAATATTTTGTCAGATTGATCTAAAAAATTTTATCTTGTAAAATTGATCTGACAAAATTATATAAATATTCTTGTTTATTATTATTCAAAAATTTTAATAAAATTTTTCTCAAGAATTTCATTATTCTCATAAATAATAATAATTATTATTACAATAAATTCAATTCGATTATTTTCAAGAATTTTAATATAAATTCGATTATTATTTTAGACAATTTTGATAAAAAAAATTCCTTCAAAAAATTCTATTATTTTCAAAAGTTTAGATAAAATTCTTTTAAAAAATTCTATTATTTTTAGAAATTGTAAATCCTCCGGAATAATAAAATATTCTTCAAAGGAATTCAATTATTTTCAATGCAATTTTAATAAAATTTCTCGAAAGAATACAATTATTTTAAAAAATATTATTTAAATTCAATTATTTTCAAGAGTTTTAATAAAAATTCAATTATTTTCTAAAATTTTAATAAATCCTTTGAAAAAATTCAATTGTTTTTATAAATAGTAAAATTCATCACAAAAATAAAATTATTTTTCATAAATAATAAAATTCTTCTGAAAAATTCAATTAGTTTCTATACAATTTTAATAGAATTTGTAAGAAAAAATTCAATTATATTCAAGATAATTTTAATAAAATTTCTCTAAAGAATAACATTATTTTTAAAAATATTAATTAAATTCGATTATTTTCAAAGATTTTAATATGAATTCAATTATTATTTTAGACAATTTTAATAAAATTCTTTTAAAAAAATCATTATTTTCAAAATTTTTAATAAAATTCCTTCAAAAAATTCTATTATTTTCAAAAATTTAAATAAAATTCTTTTAAACAATTCAATTATTTTGAGGAATTGTAAATCCTTCGCAATAATAAAATTCTTCAAAAGAATTCAATTATTTTCAAAACTATTTTAATAAAATTTCTCTAAAGAATACAATTATTATGTTAAAAAATATTATTTAAAATTTAAATTCAATTATTTTCAAGAGTTTTAATAAAAATTCAATTATTTTCAACAATTCTGTTAAATTTCTTCGAAAAAATTCAATTATTTTTATAAATTGTAATAAAATTTTTCTAAACAATTTAATTCTTCTCAAAATTTTTTAATAAAATTTTTTGTAAATTTCAATTATTATCAAAATTTTCAATTAAAATTATTTAAAAAATTGCATTATTTTTACGAAATTTAGTGAAATTTAAGAAAAAAAATGTAAAAAAAACTCTAATAAAATTGTTTAAAAGAATTTAATTTTATGTGAATAATTTTAAAATAATTTAATAGGAAAATTATTAATTACAATTAATAATAAACACAAATATTTTAACAATTCGAAAGAAATTCTTCATAAAATTCAATTACTTTCCAAATTTTTAGTAATCATTATTTAAAAAAACTCCATTATTTTCAAGAAAATTTAAATAAATTCTTCAAAACAATTCAATTATTTACAAGAATTTTAAAAAATATCTTGCCAAGAAATAAATTATTTTCAATACTATTTTAATTACATTTTCTCTAAAGAATTCAATTATTGTCAAATTTTTTCGATAAATACTTTGCAAGAATTCAATGATTTTCAATATATTAATTTAAAAATTGAAAACATTTATAAAGGAAAATTATTTTAAAAGTTAGAAAACAAAAAAGCAAACAGCAAAATTTTGGCAAATTATCATTTATCATTATTATCAAAATTTAATTGTGTTAATCGATTATTTACTTCAGAGATTATGATTAAGTATGATAAATAAAAATTTACACCACTTTCTTAGTTCAATTTTCAAAAAAATAAAAATTAAAAAAAGTGAAAACATTCCTAATTATTTAAAATTTCATTCTTATTTTCTCAATTATAAAAAAAGTAAAAAAATAAACGCCAATTAATTAAAATTTATTATTTATTATTAAGTAATAAAAACCTCAATAGAGTGGAATATTTAATTCACATTCCTGGAATATTCCATTGAAAAAATTTGGAATATTGGGAATATTCATTTAAAATAACCCATTAAAATTTTAGGAATATTAAAATATCCAACGTTTGGAATATTACCTTGGAATATAGTAGGAGTGTTTTATTGGAATATTACCTCTTAAATTTTTCAATATAACAGTAAGGAAAATAAAAAAATATTTTTACAAAATTCCAATGGAATATTCCAATTTCCAAAGGAATATTCCAAAAATCGGAAATTTTAATATTTTTGAAGTGTTGATGGAATATTCCATGTTATTGGGGAATATATCAATAATAATGAAATAAATCAATAAGTATATAATAATAATAAAAGTAATAATGAATAATAGAAATATAGAATAATACATTTATAAAAAAAATATTGAAATACAAATATTTTTGTAAAATGGGTAGAAATGAGGAAAAAGTGAAACAAAGAAAGAAATATCTCACATTGTTGCAGATATACTCTCCGTGCTTGACGCCTCGAATAATTTGATGATAGATAAGGTCAGTGGCGACCTTATCAAAAGTTGGGTCGTGCCAGGGGGCAAAGATCTCTTTTCTGAAGAACAATCTCCATCGGGCTGAGCGTTCAGAATGTCCCTGTTCCCTTGCATATTGTTCGCATTGGCAAATTGCATCCATCACATGATCCCTACATATATAGACGATTTTTAATAATTAAACATATGATATAATTCCTAAATAATAATCAATCATTACAAATAAAATTAATTTTTAGAATTATATAATAATAATACGGAAAGAAAATTTTACCTGGAATCAAGTGAAGATTTTTTTTTAGTATAAATAATTAATATTATCGAATGGGGTAAGTAAATAAATATAATATATACTTTAATCATATCATAATTATAAGTAATTAATTAAATGTTTAATTAGTTAATCTAATTAGTCCGATTTAAATAAAAAATATTTAATTAAATTCCAAGTATAATATCTTCCATCATTCAATAATACTATTAACTCAAAAGTTTCGAATTGCAACAAATTGATACAAAAATTGTGGATCAAATCAAAAATTGATCCGAATTTTTAGCATCAATTTTGATCCACTTTAGTATCAATTTGATACTTTCAAGGAAACTGTGGAAGGATTATAATTTTTTTCTTCAAATAAATAAAGATTTATTATTAAATAAAGATTTATTATTAAATAAAGATTTATTAATAAATCATTATTTTTGAAGAAAAAAATTATAATCTTTCCTCTAATGAAAATTTAAATATTAATTAAAGAAGGGAAAAATTTATAGAATTTATAATCTCTCTGGGAAAATAGTAATTCTAACTAACCGTCCGGCTCCGAGTGATAAGACCTTATCGTAAAGAGTAACAAAAAGAGAAAAACCAAATGTATCTTTCAGTGAAATATTATTTGCCAAACTGTTGACAATTTCTTGTGCAGTTGACGCCGAATCAGCCTCGACATTCCTTGAATTTCCATCCATAAACATCACCGTCAAAAGAATTGGTGTCTTATTTTTCGTCGCCTAAAATGCAACATCAATTTTTAAATACAAATTAATTTAATTAAAATTTTATTGAAATGTCTTTTATAAAAAAAATTTAACCCAAATACACCGCGAATGTTCTATTCACATTCCTGGAATATTCCATTGGAACATTGGTAATGTTTCTCTGGAATATTCCATCCATTCTTTAGAATCACTAAGATTAACAGTAATTTAATAAATTAATTAATTAACGTCAATTGTAATTGACGATAACATTGAATATTCCATTCATATTCCTGGAATTTTTATGTGAAATATTGAGAATATTCCTTTGATATTCCTTTAGAATATTTCATTTACTTTTTAGGAATATATTAAAATGCGGAAATTTTAATATTTGGAATATATTCTTTTGGAACAATATGTATAGGAATATTCAATTGGAATATTGTAACTGAAATATAGTACATAGGAATATTAATTTTTTAATTTTTAACGTTTTAAGTTCGAAATAAATTGAAAAGTTTATTTGATTGGAATGAAAACTGATTATTATATCATCAATAATTCCTCTAATTACAAGGAATATTAAAATTTCCGACCTTTGGAATATTTCTTTTTGGAGTATAATATTATGTACATCAAAATATTCTGGGAATTGGGAATATTTAATTGGATTTTTGTAATTAAACCTTTTTTATTCGAATCATCGATGACATGCTATAATTAATTTTCGCGTTATTAAAATAAATTCATTTTATTTTGAACTGAAAAATTTGAAAATTTAAAAAGTAATATTGCTACATTCTTTTTACAGTATTCCAATATAATATTCCGTTTAATCCTGATTTTCCAAAGGAACATTCCAAATGTTGAAAATATTCCTAAAAAATGTATAAAATATTCATTTGGAATATTCTTAATGTTCGAATAAAATATTTCAGGAATATGAGTGGAATATTCCTTGCTCTTCTAGATGACCATTTAAATTTACAACTTATTTCGTTCAAAAACGAATTGTTGATGAATTTATTTAAGTAGTGTAAAAACTTTGAATGTCCTACGAAATATTTCAATAATATTCCACAGAAATATTCTTTCTTTATGCCAACTGCAATATTCCTACATTATTCCAAATGTCGAATATTCTGGAAGATTATTTCCAATACGTACCAATAGAATATTCCAGAATTTTGAATGGAATATTCCTTGTTGTTGATATACTAATTATGTCAAAGAATATATTTTTACAAAGTTCCAATAGAATATTTCTACAATATTTTGATGGAATATTTCTATATTTAAAAGGAATATTCCAAACGTCTGACATTTTAATGTTCCTAAAATATGTGGAAGGACTTTGGAATTTTCACAACATTTCCAATGGAATATTCACGAAATGTGAATGAAATATTCCAGCCCTACTATTGGGGCGAATGCTTTTAAGAATATAAAAAACTGCTAGTTTGAATTTATATTCCCACTAGCATTTGAAGAGCATATTATAATTTATAATTAATAAAACGTGCCTGTAATTCGATCCAACTGGGAGGCTGCGTTCTGATGCCATTCCTGTAGGTTCGACTCAATCTTTTATCGCAATATGGCGCATATCCTGGCGGTCCAGTGCGAATGAATGCTCTCAAGTAATTTAGGAATTTCTCGGAGGGAGCAAAACAACCCACGCAGAGTGAAAGGAGGATCCATCCTCTCGCGTGAGAGGCCTTCGTTGGATTATTGATTAACTGCTTGACAATTTGGCAATAAATCTCGTCCTTGAGTTCGGGTCGCAGAATTCCATGACCAATGATGAAATGCAGCTTCTCTAAATTGGAACGACGTGTATTGAGCCAATTCTGATAATCTTGATCCACAAATTCATCATCTATTATTCCTGCGAAAAATTAATTTTTCTTTATTTAAGAAATAAAAATAAATATTAAATATTAAATATTTTCTTCATTAAAGAACGAATCAAAAATTTTTGATTCGTTTTTTGTCTCAATTTTGATGTCCGCAGAAAAACTGTGAAGGCAATATTGTCAATGTTGCTCTTCAAGTTATTAGATGCTGTGGGAGATGTTAATGATTTAATAATCATGATAATGATAATGTTTCTAATCATGACAATAATGATTTTTTTCTTGACTCCTTATTTCTTCATCCTCCATATATAATACCTCTTTTGATTTCCTCCTGGAATTTATCTTTCCTCTTCAATGTCATGCGAACGATGTGCTGAGATTTTTCCTGATTAATTAGATTCTCAAAATCTTTGGTGCGAGAGAATTTTTTCGAAAGTGTTTGAGAAACTGTCGCCATAACTGGAGTATTAACGGGAGCCTCTATCGGATTTCTGGGTTCGGGAATGTCACCCATGAACCTCAGAATCGTTATCCATAGAGCCTTTGCACACTGAAAATTTTTCTTTCGTAAATAAATAATAATACTTATTGTTAAGTTAATATCATATTAATAATTAATAATTAATAATAACTTAATCATTTTTAAAATAAAAAAAAGTGAAATATATACAATTAAAATCAATTTAATATTTAAGAAATAATTGATTTTAAGAAAAAATAATTCAAAATTGAGTAAATGATTGAATATTAAACAAATAATTAAATGTTAAGTGGCCATTTTGATAAAATAATTGAATAATTGAGTATGACATAAATAATTGAATATGTTAAGTGAACAATTATTTTGAGAAAATAATTGAATAATTGAATAAATAATTGAGTATTAAATGAATAATTGAATGTTAATTGATTAATTTTAAGGAAATAATTGACTATTAAGTAAATAATTGAATATAAAGCGAATAATATTCGAGAATATAAGTTAATAATTATACAATTAGTTAATAATTAGTTAACTATAAAAATAATTATTTTTAATTAATTCAAATTTAGAAAACAGTATAAATATCTATAAAAATTGAAATAAAAAATTAGATTTTCAATCTTACCAATTGATCCGAGGGATGCGACAAATCCAACAGCGAATGGACCAATGGCCTTCGTGAATATTGAGGTGGAATATTGCTGACAAAATACATTGCGGCAAATTTATGAAAATCATATAATGAAAAGTCTTCGTCAACTTCTTCCTCGTCAGGAATTTCGAGGAAATCTGATTGTTCAGGACTAGTGCTTTTGTCCTTTTGAGCCAAATCCTGCAAAAAAAAAATTATCTTTAATTCTGAAATTAAAGATCAATTAAATTAAGAAATTAATTTATTAATTAATTTAATAGTTAATTTATTGATTAAATTACTAATTAATTTTAAACAAATAATTTGAAAATCGGATAAAAATTAACTGACCGCGTACATATCGCCTGGCAGGTCCTTTGAAATTGACGTTTTCGGTTCACTTTCGAGAAATTCGAAGATCCTGTCAATGCTGGACTCTGATTCCCTCGAAGGTGCTTCTATCTCTTTTTTCTCATTTTCCTCCAGATGTAGTTTCAATTCTCTCATTCTCTGTTCAAAGTTCGCTGCCGCCACTTCCTTGTATTTTCTGTTTCCCTGTTTCTTCAACATTTTCTCCTCCTCTTTTCGAAGACTCTGAATCTCTTGAATTCTTCTCTGTTTCCACTATATAGGAAAATAAAAACCATTTCGATTTTTAATTATTTGCAATTCAAAAAAAAAAAAAAAATTTCAGCAATCGAGAAAAATCTCACCTGTGACTTTTCTTTACTATATTTCCGTACCAGGTAACCGCGACATACTGCCTAAAATTTTAATTCACATTAGTAATTTTACTAATAATAAATAAATAATAATTAAATGAAAAAAAATTAAATAGAAAATAATAAAGTTGAAATTATCGACAATAATAATAATTAAATGAAAATTCAATAAATTAATCAAACGAATAAATAAATAAAAATTAAATAAAATACAGTTGACTCTCGATAATAATTGAATCTCAAGGGACATAGAAAAAATTCCAATTATCAAGGGTTTTATTCATCGAATGTTTTAAGTATAAAAATTTTTTCAAAGGACCAAAAAACAAATTCAATTTATTCAAAGCATAATTATCGAGAGTTGACTGTATTATCTAATAATTAAATGAATAACAAGAAATAAAAAAGTACACAAAATATAATTCAATGAATGAATAAACCATAATAAATAAATACAATACAGTCAACTCTTGATAATTAAACTTTCGATAAATTGAATTTGTTTTTTGGTCCCTTGGAAAATTTTTGATACTTAAAACATTCGATAAATAAAATCCTCGATAATTGGAATTTTTTCTATGTCCCTTGAGATTAAATTTATCGAGAGTCGACTGTAATAAAACAGTAATACAGTCAAATCTCGATAAATTGAATCTCAACTGACATAGAAAAAATTCCAATTATCGAGGGTTTTATTTATCGAATGTTTTAACTTTAAGTATCAAATATTTTAAATATTTTTATAATTTTTCTGAAGAACCAAAAAACAAATTCAATTTATCGAAAATTTAATTATCGAGAGTTGACTGTATTCAAATGTGAAGAATAGAAAAAATAATTACCTTATAAAAAATATATTTACGAGAAGATGCAAAATTTTTTATAAACAAAAATAAAAAACTACGAGAGAAGCAAATATTAGTCAATATAATTTAGCATATTAATGTTCGATATGGAAATGTTACATTTTCCATGCAACATTACGTATGTATAAATAAATTGTGAAAGGTGAAAAAGTTTTTTTTTCCTTTTCTTAGATTACTTTCTCCTGTTCATATCTAGATATATATATATAATAGCTTATACAGCCTAAAGTACATAGACAAAAAATTAAATATGCAATTCGCAAAAAACTTTGTCGTATATATAGCATATATTATTTCTTACCTAATGAGAATTTTTTTATTTTCTGTATATTTGCGCACTCACCTGAAGAGCAACGATCGCATTTCTTTTTTGCTTGTACTCGTGATTTAATGTTCGTGATTTTATTCGAGCCTGTAATCTAAGACATCCATGGTGCAGACTCAAATATCGCTTCCTTGGTCCATATCCTCTCCAAATTTTTTGTATCAACACAGCCGCATTTCTTTTTCTCAAAAATCTATAAAAAAATTTTTTTTTTTAATTTTATCTTCCAAATAATTATAATTTTAATTTTTATGTTCAAAAATCGTTATAAATATTTTTTATTTTACGTAGAATAATAATTTGTTTATTAAAAATTTATTTACGTCAATTTATTTATTATCTATTTTTTTATAATTATAAGTGAAAATAAATAATTTAAATAATAATGATAAATAGAAATAAAAATTTGGATAATTAAAAAATTAAATTACAAAAAATATTTGAAGAAATCAGAAATAAAAAATTGAAGTAACAAAAAATAGAAATTGAAAATTGTAGTCAAAATCAATAGAAATAACAATTTGAAGAAATAAGTAATAAAAACTTGAAGTTATAGGTATTAAACAAAAATAAATAATTGAAGAAATAAGAAATAAAAAATTAAAGTAATAATAAATAGCAAGTAATAATAAAAATAACAATTTGCGAAGAAGAAATAATTAGTAAAAAGAAATAAATGAAGAAATAAGAAATTAATAATTGAAGAAATAATTGGTAAACATGAATAAATGAAGAAATAAGAAATAAAAATTTGAAGAAATCAGAAATAGAAAATTAAAATATATAATAATAAGTAGAAATAAATAAATGAAGAAACAAGAAGCAAAAAATTGAAGTAAAAACAAATAAAATTAACAATTTGAAGAAATAAGTAATATTAACTTGAAGTGATAATAAATACCTAGAAATAAATAAAGGAATGAGAAATAAAAAATTGAAGTAACAACAAATAGAAATTAAAAATTGAAGTAATAACTTATAAAAATAAATAATTGAAGAAACAAGAACCAAAAAATTGAAGTAAAAATAACAATTTAAAGAAATAAGTAATAGAAACTTATGAAGTTATATTAAATAGAAATTAATAATTGAAGAAATAATTGGTAAATCTGAATAAATGAAGAAATAAGAAATAAAAATTTGAAGAAATCAGAAATAGAAAATTGAAATATGTAATAATAAAATAAATGTTTGAAGAAACAAGAAGTAAAAAATTGAAGTAATAATGAATAACAAGTAATAATGAAAATAATAATTTGAAGAAATAAGTAATGAAAACTTAATGTAATAATAAATAGAAATTGAAAATTGAATTAATAACTTATAAAAATAAATAATTTAAGAAACAAGAAGCAAAAAATTGAAGTAAAAATAAATAAAAATAACAATTCGAAGAAAGAAGGAATGAAAAATTAAAGCAATAGTAAATAGAAATATAAAATCGAAGTAATAATTAATAAAAATAAATTATTGAAGAAATAAATACAAATTTTAAGAAATAAATAAAGAAAAATTGAAGTAATAACTAATAAAATAAATAATTTGAAGAAACAAGAAGCAAAAATTTGAAGTAAAAATAAATAAAAATGACAATTTGAAGAAATAAGTGATAGAAACTTGAAGTTATATTAAATAGAAATTAATAATTGAAGAAGTAATTAGAAAGCATGAATAAATGAAGAAATAAGAAATAAAAATTTGAAGAAAGAAATTGTAAAAAATTGAAGTAATAATAAACAGAAATGGAAAATTAAAAATAATAATAGTTATTACAGAAATACAGTCAACTCTCGATAATAAAACTTTTGATAAATTAAATTTTTCAATAAATTGAATTTGTTTTCTGGTCTTTCGGAAAAATGTTGATATCTTAAAACATTCAGTAAATAAAACCCTCGATAATTTGAATTTTTTCTATGTCCCTTGAGATTCAATTTATCGAGATTCAACTGTAAATAAGGAAAATAATAATAAATTTATTAAGAAATTAATAATAAATAAAGACAAATAATAAAAATAGTAAATAGAAATAAACAATTAATATATTTTAATAAAGAAAATATTTTTCTATTTTCATTTATTTCTTCCTATTTTTAGCATAAAAAAAATTTATAAATCCAGTCGAATCTCGATAAATTGAATCTCAAGGGACATAGAAAACTTTCAAATTATCGAGGGTTTTATTTATCGAATGTTTTAAGTATCAAAATTTTTCCGAATAACCAGAAAACAAATTCAATTTATTGAAAAATTAAATTTATCGAAAGTTGACTGTAAAATTAATATTTATAAATAATAAAAAATATAACTAAAAGTCACCTTTTCCTAACTAGACAAACACGAACAAAATTCTGTATTCTAATAATATTCCCAATAATAATACGACTTCTCTCCTCCTCAAGATAATTATCATGATGTTCCTTGAGGAAAATTTTCGTTACACCCAATTGATAGTCCTGATCGTTGCCAAATGTATCGGAACAAATTTTCGCAACAGCCACTTTCACATTGGTTTTATGGGATGGTAAAATGCCATTTGATAATACACGAAAACGATCGACAAATTCCGCAAAATCATAGCGAATCGGATATCCGGCACGTCGTATTCGCGCTGTTTCCATCATTCCCGAATATCGTAATTGCCGACAGCAAAGTGCACGATCGAATTTCTATTTAATTTTCAAATGTAAAAGTAAATATAGTATCTGAAAAGTCTTGAACACCTTTTATCGTATATATTCATAATATATATAAATTGGGTGGTGGGAGCGAGTTTGTGCTGGGGAGAGTTATAGAAAAAATTTAAAATCAGGTTCTATCTCTGATAATCGAAACTGGGCTTTACAGTTTCTCCTCTGATATACTTTAAATCTGTATCATTTATGTAGAAATTTCTTTAATATACAAAGTTGCAAAAAACGAGTTATTCGTGAGTTGAAAATAGTTTTTTTCTTTTTCATGCAAGTTGATTGCGGAAAAAAAAATTTGGTTCTACTTCTAATTTTTTTTGGTTTTCTTTTTGGCTTAAGAAAAACTAATTAGAATTAGATTGAAAGTTAAGAAAATTTTAATTAATATAATTATACTAATAGAATTTTTTCAATTCGAAAATTGAAAGAAGAAACCGTTTTGTCCTGTTTTCAATTTTTTCTACTTCCTTATTTATATTGCATAAAAAAATAATTGATTTATATTTAAAAACGATGTATCTTAATTAATATAATTATGTAATTGTATTGTCATTAACACTAAAATCAAAATTATTTCGTCCTGTTCTCATTTTTTTTAATTTTTTCTATTTTTTTCCCTATTGAAAAATATTAATTTAAATTAAACTGTAATTAAAAATTAAATAAAATTAATAAAAATCTGTATTATTATAATAATCCTTGTATTCCGCGGTAATCTGTTCACAGTTTAAAATTAGTTGTTGTTTACTTTTCTGTTTCGTAACTTTTTAAATAATTTTTCTTTTTAAATATTTTTAATTTTAAAATTAATGTTTTGAAAATCATCAAATTGTTGCAAAAAATTTTAAAAAAATTAGAGAATAATTCAATTCCTTCGAAGAATTTTATTATTTATGAAAATAATTGAATTCTTGCAAAGAATTTTATTAAAATTTTTCAAAATTCTAATAATTCTAATAAAATTCTTTTTCAAGAATTTCTTTGTATTCGTTTTAAAAAAAATGGAGTTTTTAAATTTTTTAAATTTTAATTAAAAATTTTGAAAATAATTGAATTTTATGAACAATTACTTTTAGCTAATTTAAATTAAACATTTAATTGGGTATTGAATTTTATTAAAATTTTAGAAAATAATTGAATTCTTTTGAAAATTTTTATAACGAATTAATGAAAAAAAAAAATGAATTCTTTCGTGAAATTTTTTTGAAAATACTTGAATTTTTGCAAAGAATTTTACTATTTATACCTAAATATAATTAAATTGTTTCGAAGGATTTATAAGAATTTTAGGAAATAATTGAATTCTTTCGTGAGATTTTTTTTGAAAATAATTGAATTTTTGCAAAGATTTTATAAAGAATTAAGAAAAAAATTGAATTCTTTTGTGAATTTTTTTAGATAATAGCTAAATATTTACAAATATTTTACTGTTTAAAAAAATAATTAAATTGTTTCGAAGGATTTATTAAAATTTTAGAAAATAATTGAATTTTTTCAAAAAATATTATTAAAATTTTTCAAAAGTTGAATTCTTTCATGAAATTTGATTAAAATTGTATTAAATATTATTTAATTTTCAATAAAATTAAATTGTTTCCAAGGATTTATAAGAATTTAAGGAAATAATTGAATTCTTTTAAAATATTTTATAACGAAACAATAAAAAAAAAATTGAATTTTATTGTGAAATTTTTTTGAAAATAATTGAATGTTTGCAAAGATTTTATAAAGAATTAAGAAAAAAATTGAATTCTTTCGTGAAATTTTTTTTTAAAATAATTGAGTTTTTGCAAAGAATTTTACAGTTTATAAATATAATTAAATTGTTTCGAAGGATTTATTAGAATTTCAGGCAATAATTGAATTCTTTCGTGAAACTTTTTTTGAAAATATAAATAATTGAATTTTTGCAAAGATTTTATAACGAATTAAGAAAAAAAATTGAATTCTTTCGTGAAATTTTTTAGATAATAGCTAAATATTTACAAATATTTTACTGTTTAAAAAAATAATTGAATTTTTCGAAGGATTTATTAAAATTTTAGAAAATAATTGAATTTTTTCGAAAAATAAAATTAAAAATTTTTTAAAATTGAATTCTTTCATGAAATTTGATTAAAATTGTATTAAATATTATTTAATTTTCAATAAAATTGAATTGTTTCCAAGGATTTATAAGAATTTATGGAAATAATTGAATTCTTTTGAAAAAATTTATAACGAATTAATAAAAAAAAAAAATTGAATTCTTTTGTGAAATTTTTTCGAAAATAATAATTGAATTTTTCCAAAAATCTTTTAACGAATTAAGAAAAAGATTGAATTCTTTTGTGAAATTTCTTCTTAAAAAATAACTAAATTTTTACAAAGTTTTTACTGTTTAAAAAAATAATTGAATTGTTTCGAAAGGATTTATTAAAATTCTTAAAAGTAATTGTATTCGTTCCTGAAATATTATTAATTTGTTTAAAAATAATTGAATTTTCGCAAAATATGTTACTATTTATAAAAATAATTGAATTATTATGATGAATAATTATTATTTATGAAAATAATTGAATTTCTTGCGAAGAATTTTATTAAAATTTTTGAAATTAATAAACAAGAATAATTAATTAGTAAATTAGTTAATAATTGAATTTTTTTAAAGTTTGAATCTGGAATTATTCAAAAATTCATATTTGAAAATAAAAAATTTTGTAATTTGCATAATAATAAATTGAATATCAATAATATTTATTATATTATAACATAAAAGATTATAAAACAAAAGAATAAGATAGAAAATTAGAAGAAATTAAAACAAGAAAAAGTATTAATATTCTTGTTCTTGTCTTAATTTCTTCCACTTTTTTCCATTCACAATAAAAATTAGTCAAAGTGAATTAAAAATAAACAAAAATTAATTAAATAAGAAGTTTTTTTCAAAAAATTTGATTTTAAAAAAGTAAAATATCTTCTTTTGCATAAATAATTCAAAGAATTGCTATTATTATTATTTTTCTTGTAAAATACTGATTACTTACTCCAGGAATTTGCTTATCGTTCGGTTTGATGCATCTGATGAAAAATGGATGACAAATTGTCAATGTTTTCATTAAGGAATCAAGTGAAGTTCGAAATTCCAATGACAATGTTACAGCTCTTTTTTTCGTTTCAGTTCCATTTAATAGCATTTCATCGGTGAAAAGTGATTTGAGAAAATTATTCAACGATATTGAAACTAATTGTTTGAAATCAGTGGAGAATGTGTCACGATTTTTTTCCAAAAATCCTGCGACATTATAATTTACATTTCCGGCAAAATGTACAACTCCAAATGATTGCACATGATTTGATTTTGGTTTCAAGTAATTTTTATTCTTCTCATGTAACTGATTAATTTTTGCCAATAGAGTTAAATCAGTTCCCTGAAATTAAATTAATTAATTAGATATGAAAATTGGAATTCAATTTATTTGACTCAAAAATAAATTAATAAATAACTAAATAACTAAGTAAGTAGGTACATAAATAATTAAATAATAAAGAAATGAAAAAATTAATAAAAAAATAAAAAAAATCATTAGTTAATAAATAAAGAAATTAATTATAATTAATGAGAACATTTTTTGAACAATAAAATTTTTTTTTTAATAATAAAATTAATAAAAATTAATAAAATTAATAAAAATCCCTTGCGGACAATTACTTTGGGAAATTTACTCTCTTCATCGACGAGGGCCATAATATTCATTGGTCTCATTCCAATAAGATCGAGAATCGATTGATTGTCCTCAAATTCAATATGCTGCCAGGATATTCCCTCTTCGGTGTAATAATTTTGCTCCATTTTGAAAATGTGTTGAACGAAAAATTGCTGTAAATGTTCATTGGCATAATTAATGCACAATTGCTCGAAACTATTGATGTCAAAATTTTCAAAACCAAAAATATCGAGAACACCAATGGAATTTTTTGCCTTCGATTTTACTTTATAAATAGCGGCATTAATTTTATCAACAATCATTATAAAAAGACGACCATAAACTGCTTTGACGAATGCATCTCTTGTGTCTAGTGCTTGATCTTTCGACATGTTGCTGCACTGGAATTTTTTTTTTTTTCATTAAGAAAATTAATTAATATTAATCAAAATATTTAATATTAAAAAAACGGAAATTTACCACACGTTCGCCATGGACGAAAATTGTTTTCTTTGTTAATGCGTCAATTAGAGCTCGTTCCGATACTTGTAAAATTTCCGCAATTATCTTCAAATTCTTATCATCGTTTATTACAGTTGCATCCATATTTTCTAAATAGTGACAAATATTTTGAATATAATTTTATCAATGCTTTACTGTTTTGCTTTTTAAAAATTATTCTGTACAATATTTTAACTACTTTCAAAAAATAATTCAATTATTTAATTTTTGAAGAAATATGTACTTTAATGCTTTTATTATTGAGGAAAGAATTCAATAACTTTTAACTTGATTATTGAAAAAATAATTCAAAAATGTTATTATTGAAGTTGAAATTTGATTATTTTATACTCCATAATTTAATAATATAACAGTTAAAAAAAATTTAACTACTGAATAAGAAATATAATTAAATCATTTTACTAGTGAATATATATTTCAATAGTTCAGGTAATCATTCAATAAATAATTTAATATTTTTTCTACTCGAGAATTTTTGAAAAAATAATTCAAAAACTTTATTATTGAAGAAATAATTTAATAATGTTACAAATGAAGCAATAATTTAACTACTGAAAAAAAATTAAATCATATTTTTCTGTTAAAACATTTGCAAATTGTGAATAATTATTGAAGAAATAATTTAATAACTTTGCTAGTTGAAGAAATAATTGAATAATAAATTAAAGAATTGAAATAATAAGTCAACAGCTGCGAAATAATTGAATGATTACTATAATTATTGAAGAAATAATTCAATAGTTTAATTATTGAAAGAATAATTCCATAATTTTATAATTTTATATTTTATAATTTTCCTATTGATGAAATAATTCAATAATTCAACGCTTGAAATAAATTGAATAATTTTATTATTGAAAGAATAATCCATTAATTTGCTATTAATGGAGCAATTTGATAACTAAACTATTGAAATAATTGAATAAGATGATTATTGAAGAAATACTTAAATAATTTTATTGTTCAAAAATTATTTCAGTAATTTACTGTTAAAAAATAATCCAGTATTAATTGAGTTTTTCAAAAAACTAAATAATTTGATTATTTATTATAAAGAAATAATTTCTTGTTTTTATGAAAGAAGAAATTTAAATCAACAATTTTAGTAATTGAAAAAATAATAATCGTCAAACCTGTAATAGTTTTTTTGTAATTAAGATTCCCAAAATGTAAAATCACTGCCAAAAGTTTCATTATATTCCAAAAATCATCGTAACTGAAATTCAAAACTTTCATGGCTGCTCTTACTTCAGCGAATTCTTTAGCGTCATCTCTGTCCCTGCATGTTGCAACCTACCAGGTTTCACTTGTAAAACAAACGATATTTTTCCCATCGATATGTTACAAACTATTTTCATTTATTTTGTAAAAATATCAGTAAAAAGCTTCTGCGGAACCGGTTCCGTAATTCCACAAAGAAATTTTCAAAAAGTTTTCGACAGAAGTTCTATAGCTCTAATTTTACAGAATTGTTTCTGTATAATCTTTTGCAATCTCGCAAATTTTTTGATAGAATTTCTATAATTATAGAACCAGTTCCGCATTTTTATTTCTAATCTTCTGCAATCTAGAAAATTCTTTGATAAAATTTCTATAATTACAGAACCAGTTCCGCATTTTTATTTTTAATCTTCTGCAATTTAGCACATTTTTTGATAGAATTTCTATAATTACAGAACCAGTTCCGCAGAAGTTTGTTCTATCGATAAACTATCTTCTTTCTTCTTCTTTTTTATTTTATTTAAAAAAAATTATTTTTTTCACTTACCCCACATAAATATTTATAATCGAGTGTCCCACCGAGATTTAATTTTTCCTTTTCCTCCTTCGTCAGACCGGCCAAAAGACCATAAAATACATGATAATTTCTCTCGCTCTTCGATTGCGATACTATTCGACATTTTTCCAATAAATACTGTTCAATTTTTGCACCCTCGATTATTCCTTGTTTATTAAACATAATACCAATGAATTTGCCAAATCGTGAGGAATTATCGTTTCTAACGGTCCTCGCGTTTCCAAATGCTGAAAAATTATTTTTTTTAATCATTTTTAAAATTCAGAAAATTAACATTAAAACAAAAAAATAAAAATGTGAGTAAATTTTGCATTTAGAGTATAATTTTTCCACTTTTTCAAGTCTTAAATTTTTTTTTAAAGTTTTTTGAAAGAAGATATAGAAAAAGAATTGAAACCTTCTAAAATTGGATTCGCTTCTAAAATTTGTTGCTCAATCCAAGAATGTTCTCCACTAATTGCTGATAAATATTGTAAAATTAATTTTGTACTCTCTGTCTTTCCAGCTCCACTTTCTCCACTGAAATTATTTTTTACAATTAAGAAAAATTAGCAATTTAAAATAAAAATTTTAAACTAAAAATTGAAAAATTAATTTTTAATATATTAATAATAATAAAAATTTTCCTGCATTATTAAGGGAGCTAAAAATTTTTAAAAATTTTATATAAAAAATAAATAAAATTTTTCTAATAATGTAATATATACCTGATAACAATGCATTGATCGATTTTCGTATTTTTCATTTCCATGAAACAATTATCGCCAATTGCGAAAATATGAGGCGGTTCTTTTCCAATTTTCTTTCCTTTATAGAGATTTATTTCATTGTAAGTATAGACATTTAGTACTTGATAAGGATTAACCGCTATCAACATGCTACCAGTGTAGGTCTAGAGAAAATTAAGTTTCATTAATTATTTTTGTTTTTATGATTACTTTTTCTTAATTATTTCACTTATTTATTTTATTTTTAGTTTTGAAAATTCCAAAATTACTGATATCTCTTCAAAAGAAAAATAGAAAATAATGACAAATTATTTTCTATATGAATAATTTTTTCTAAAAATTATTAAATATTTTAGTATCAAATTATTTCTTTTGTAAATATTTTATTTAATATTTTGAAAAATGATAAATTAAGCTTTTTTATTTTCGAAAAGGAATTAAAAAATTTTTTTTTGAAATAAAATAAACAATTTTTTTGTACAAATAAATTGTTTTAAAAATCATGAATTATTTTACTATCAAAATTGCTTAGTTTGTTAATATTTTATTTATAATTTTTAAATTTAATAAATTAAGCTTCTCTTCCTTCGAAAAAATAAAGTGAAAGATTTTTTTCTTATGTTTTTCTCTAAAAATCATCAATTATTTTAGTACCGAATGTTTTTTTTTGTATAATTATTTTTGTAATTTTCGTAATTTAATTATGTTTTGTAATAATTTGGATAATTAATAAATTAAGCTTCAATTTTTCTTTGAAGAAAAAACTGAAAGATTTTTTTTGTAAATAAACAATTATTCTATTTTTAATAATCATCAATAAATTTTTTAGTATAAAATTATTACATTTGAAAATAATTAATTTCTATTTTCCAATTTTGAAAATTAACAATAAATTTAATTTTTTTTCAAAGAGAATATTTTTCTGTTATTAAATATTTTCATGTTTTTTAATTAAAGAAGAAATTTTAAAATAAAAAATAAGTGAATATGTATGTACAATTTTTTGTTTAAATATAATATAAAAAATTCAAAATTTAATAAAGAAAAAATTTGAAAACATTACATATATTATGTTTTGATTGTAGCGTATGTGAAGATTTTTCAAAATTGCATGTTCCTGCAGTTCACCTAGTTTTATCATATCCTCCACGCCGGAAACGGAAGTTGAATGCATCAATTTTATCATTTGATCTTCTTTCACCCATTCAAGCTGAAATTTTTTAGTTTTAGATTTAAAATAAAAATTATTCATCTGTACTATTTTAATTTTATCTCACTATATATATATTATATGAAAATATTTCCACCCTTTTATCCAATTAAAAAAAAGAAGAAATGAAAAATTAAAAAAAAAAATAGAAATAGTTTTTCTCTAATTATTTTTCTGAAGAAAATCCTAAAGTTTGTTTTTTTATAGGCAAATAAATAAAAAATTCAAAAAAAGAAGAAATAGATTTTTTCAGGTTTATTATATGAATAAAAAAATTAATAATTTGGCTGTCTTCATTTCTTCTTTGTACACTGAAAAAAAATTTATTTGATTCAAATAATCAATTACTTGTCTATTATCAAATAAATATTTACTTGAATTAAATAATTTTTATTCAAATTAAATTCTGTTTGAAATAAATTGTATTATTTGGTACCAATAATTTTAGTATTGGATGAAAAAATTGAATCATTTAATTGACTCAAATAAAAATTATTTGATTCAACGAAATATTTAATTGATAATAGTCAAGTAATTGGTTATTTGAATCAAATAAATTTTTTTTTCAGTGTAGCTTCTCCAATCGAAATTCTAATCTAACTTCTACATACAGATAAGATTTCCAAATAATATGTTTCAAGTAGAACGATTAAAAATTTTTTAAAAATTTAAAAACTTACATTCCCATCATCGTCACGAATTTGTATCTTCTTTTTATCAATACTAACAATTTTGCAACCCACAGGAACATCGAATTCATTTTTTGAATTATTTTTAATCCACACATAGTCGCCCTGTAAGAAAAAATTTATAATAAAAAGAAATAAAATTCCAAAAGCAGAAAAATAAATTTATGCAACAATTTATTTTTTCTACTTATATATTAAAAAAAAAAAAAAAAAAAAAAAAAAAAAAAATCAGAAAGAAATTAAGAAGAAAAATTCTTTATCCATAAATACACAAAAATAATTATTATTTTAATTAATTAAGAGTAATAATTAATATAATAATAATTGTTAATTAATAATAGTTGATAACAACTTCGAATTAGTAATAATTAGTACCTATATAATTATAAATAAATATATAAATAATATAATAATAATTGTTAATAATAATTGTTAATCAGTAAAAATTAATATAATACCTAATTATTAATATTATAATAATTATAATTATACTTAAATAAAACATAAAAATAATTTATAATATTATTAACAATAAAATAATTTGAAAATTAACAATAATTTTCATTAATTAAAAATTATAATTAGTAATTAACAATAATTAATAACTCTCGGAAAGACAGCTACACTTGGAAAAGCTAATAAATTTCACAATATTAGTAATATTTTAATAAATTTTAATTCAGATTTTCACTATTCCTGAGAAACTTATCGCTGATCCAGGAAAAACGTTTTTTGTATGTTAATAATATAATAATTAATAATTATTAATTATTCACTAATTAATTAGTAATTAAAAAGAAATTATTAATAGACCATTAATATAATAATAAATACAATTAAAAATTTATAAAATGGATTTATTTCTTTATCGTTAACTAAATATAATTTAATAAATTTTTTCATTTTATAAATGTTAATTTATAAAATGAAAAAATTTATTAAATTATAATTAGTTGAAATAATTAATTAAGTTAATTAAATAACAATTTTTATACTGATTAAAAAAAGAATTAGCAGTAATTGTTTAATTAAATTATTTCTGATTATAACACACGTGAAAAATGACTCATTACTCACTACTCAGAACCTATATTCAAGAATTGATTATATTACACACTTTTTTTTTAATTTAATGAATTAAAAAATAAATATAATTAATTATATGCACTCACAATAATATAAGGAATTTTACTCTCATTCCCTTTATTAGCCATTTTCACGAAATTTTAAATTCATTCACTACGAATTGATTTTAGAAATCTAATGTTTCAATATCTTTTATCGACTCCACGTATCTCACTTAATAATATTGTGTCGATTCTCATATAGGATAACCTTATCATAATTTGTTATCTAAAAAGTAAAATTCTACTCATAATCTGTCATACTATGTTTCATTTTTATCTTGAAAAAGTGAAAACGTTTCTATTTAATGTCGTAATTAATTATAAATATACCTATTGAATGGTAAAAATGTAATTCTTGTAGTTTTTAAAACAAATAGAAAATTACGGGATTCCCCCAAATTTTGGGACTTGCAAAAATGGGGAAAATTGTTAAAAAATTGAAAAAACGAGAAATAATATACAAATTTCTATGGAGTTTAATTTTTATTGTCAATTTCTGATAATTTTTTAATCAATACAACTGTTTTTTTAGTGAATAATATTTATTTATCATAAATTTTCAATATTAAATAAAAAAAAGGTGTAATTAAATAAAGAATATTTGAATTTGCCGCGCTATTTTAGATAATTTGAATTTCAAAATAGCACATGAATTCAAAATTTAAAAGTCGTAACGGTCAATTATTGAAGACTGTAAACAATGTAAATTATAAATAATGACAATTAATCATTGTTGATGATTGAAATTTGAAAAAATTGAACGAAATTAATGAGAATTTAATTTATTACTATAGATTTGTCTTATTCCAAACGATTCTAAACTGCCTCCGTGGCGCAATCGGCTAGCGCGTTCGGCTGTTAACCGAAAGGTTGGTGGTTCGAGCCCACCCGGGGGCGTTTTTTTTAAACTCTTACGACACTTATTCAGCTTTAATTTTTACTAGTAAATTTTATTTATAATTTTCTTTAAACGTTATTTAATTATTTAATTACGTTAATTGATGAAAAACCATAAAAAATTAATAAATTATGGTAAGTAAATAGTTTTAAGTAAGGAAATTCAAAATTATTATCATTGTTAATATTATAAAATTATAGGAAAATATTAATTTTGTAAATATTAATTTGTTGATTTAAATTAATATTTGAATGTATAATAACTGTTTTATTTATTTTTTCTAAATGTTGTTTGTTGTGTACTACCAACAATAGCGTCTTTTTTATAAACAATTTAAGAATATTATTTGTTGAGAAAAAGAACAAATTTGAGAGAAAAAATAAAGTTTCTACACTTTGTACTTCAAAAGTGCGCGCTAATCAATACTACGAGTCACGTGGTCAAGCGCAGCAATGATGAGCAATGTTGCCAACTGTCACATGGTCTACGACTTTCCGACTTTCATCATCCAAGAAAATTAAGAAATTCAGTTTCACATCAACGCATGCCGCTTAAAAAAGGCTGTTAAATTCAACAGAAATAGTGTATTACGTAAGAATAATTAGTGTTTGTTGTTAACAATTAACGTTCACTTATGTAAAAAGCATGCAAGTGTAAATTGTGCTCCGAAATAATTGAGTTTCACGCACGAGTTCAATGTTCACACCTAACCTATACCCGGTGAACTCAGTTTATATTAAAATTTCTACATATTTTTAATAAAAATATCAATAATATCATTGTTAATCTGGTATATTTGTTTATTTTAATAATTTTTCATTCGATTTTTCTCTGTTGTTATAATTCAAGTACATTGGAACTTTGCTATTTATAGGTTAGGTTGTTTTTTACATAACTTGGAATCTCTATTTCTATGAAAATTATATGTAAAACATTGTGAAGAATTTGTTAATTTATTAAATTTTCGTCTTCTAGAGAATTAAAAGACAAATATTAAAATGGCATCACAAGTTTTCGGGAGGATAGGAACACTTGGTTTGGCTGTTGCTGGCGCTGCAGCAGTTGTGAACTCTGCCCTTTACAATGGTAATTTATATCTTTCATTTCTTTCTTTTTAATTTGCATTAATTTTATATCAGGCTGGTTAATAATTTTTTCTTTCAAAATAAAAAGTATTTATTTAAATTTAAAATGAAAAGTTTAATTTAAAACTTAAAGAAGTATATTAATTTTAATTGTTGAAATAGGTCTTTAAATTGTTTCTTTTAAATTAATTTCTTATGTTAATGAATAATTAATGAATTCATTTATTTATTTTTCAGTTGACGGAGGCCATAGAGCCGTAATTTTTGACAGATTCGTTGGTATTAAAAATCAAGTTGTCGGCGAAGGAACACATTTCTATATTCCATGGGTACAAAAGCCAATTGTATTCGATATTCGTTCGAGACCAAGAAATATTCCCGTTATAACTGGCAGTAAAGATCTTCAAAATGTTAATATCACTCTTCGTATTTTATTCAGACCACAACCAGATTCATTACCAAAAATCTATACTATTCTTGGTGTTGATTATGACGAACGTGTTTTGCCCTCAATTACAAATGAAGTCTTAAAAGCAGTTGTCGCACAATTTGACGCCGGCGAATTGATAACACAACGAGAACTTGTTTCATTGAAAGTCAATGAGGAACTCACTGAAAGAGCAACACAGTTTGGTTTAATTTTGGATGATATTTCCATCGTGAGTACTTCTTTTTCTCTTTTTTTTGCCAATTTGATTCTTTATTTGATTTTTAATTTACAGGGTCCAATACAATTTTAATAAAATTTTTCTCAAGAATTCAATTTTTTTTTAAATAATAAAATTCTCTCCAGAAATTCAATTATTTTTAATACAACTTTAATAAAATTTCTCGAAAGAATTGAATTAGGAATTTAAAAAATTGTAATAAAATTCTTAGCAGAAAATTGATTATTTTCAAAAAAATTTAATAAAATTCTTTATAAGAATTCAATAATTTACAGTACAATTTTAATGAAATTCGACGAAAAATTTTTACTTACTTTCGAAAATTTTAATAAAATTTTTAAAACCAATTGAATTTTTTTAATACAATTTGTTCTCAAGAAAAGAACTTATAAGAATTCAATTAATTTATTAAACTTTTTATTAAAATCCTGTAAAGAATTTAATTATTTTCAAAAATTTTAATAAAAATCTTCGCAGGAATTCAATTATTTTCAAAAGTAAGGTAAAAGTACCAATTATGGGACGCTGTTTAAGCTAAACTAAATTTCTATGATAAATTTCTTGGAATCGGGAGTGTTAATATGAATAATTAGGGTATAGATTGAAAGATTGATATGTTATGAATAATATTTAGACCCTAAAATGGTTATTTTTCATGAAATAAAAATAATATTAATTAAATTATGAAACTCTGCACTGCACTAATTATGGGACTATGATTTCTGTATGTACGGGTGTCCCATAATGAATGTTCCTATTATGAGACATTTATTTAATTCAATAAGTAATTAGAATTCTATTGACTTATCCTAATAATTTGAATATTAATTATAAAGAATAAAATACAATAAACAAATTCTGGTTTAAAAAATAATTATAAAACTAATTTTTCTGGTAGAAAATTAATGCGAAAAAACTGAAAATATTTGAGGTTATGTTTGCTGTATATTTCCTGTGTGTCTCATAATAGGGATAGCAAATAATAAGTGCACCTAATGTGGGACGGTAGTCTGACGAAAAACTTGGCTTACCTTAATTTAAAAGCTAAAATGCAAATAAACATTTCTTATTAAATTAAATGCTATACACAAATAATTATTCTTTTAACGTGTAAAATTTTTTGAAATAAGTAGAAATTTCTTATGACCAATTTTAATTGCATTTATTTTATTTTTTGTAATACTGTCTCATAATAGGGACAAAATTGTAAATTGTCCCATAATTGGGACCTTTACCTTAATAAAATTCTTCGCAAAAATTCATTTATTTTCAAAATTAAAAATTCTTTGCTGTATTTCAATTTCTTCTCAAATTTCAATCAATATAATTTTAATACAATTTCACGAATTATTTTCATAAATAATGAAAATCATCGCAGAATTTAAATTATTTTGAACACAATTTTAATTGAATTTCTCGAAAAATGTTATTATTCTTATAAATTTTATTAAAATTCGTGGAAAGAATTCAATTTTAAGAAACATTCAATTGTTCAATAAATTATTCATTTTTCTATTTTAATAATTGAATTCTCGCAGAATTTTCTATCAAAAATTGATTTAAAAACGAATTTTACTTAAAATTTGAGATAATAATTGAATATTAATAGCATTATAACTTGAATTTTTATAAATAATTTAATTTTGAAAAGGTTTCAAATTAAAATCTTTGGAAATTTTAATTTTTCATACTTTTAACTAATAATTCTGTAGAGTTAATGTTTAAAAAAAGTTTATTTGAATTTTTTTTAAATTATTTGAAGTTTTTATTTTCTATTATTTATTTAATTGAAGAATTTCCGAATAATCGAAGTTTCGTAAAATTGAATTGTAAACATTATAGATTTGAAAATTCTCAAAGAACTTTTTCAAAAATTATTAAAAATAATTGATTTAAAGAAGAATTTTAGTTAAAAATTGTTAAAAATAATAATTGAATTGAAATGATGAAATTAGTTTTGAAGAATTTACAGTATTCTTATAATATAAAATAATGATTTTATCATTCGTTCATTTATTATCATTCAGTTAATTATTATAAAACATGAAGAAAGCGATCAGTTCGAGTCGAAGACTCGGAATGATCCCTTTCTTCATGTTTTATAATAAAAATATTCTTAGAAGTTGTTGAATTTCAAAAAGGTTTGAATTTGAAAATCTTAATTCCAATGAAAAAATAATACTGATTAAATATTTATTTAAAGAAGAAGTTATTAATGTTTTCAAATAATTTAACAATTTGAGAAATTCGTAAATAAATGTAATAAAACATTCTTTTGAGTATCTAATCATTTTTAGAGTGAATTAGAATATTCTCTAGGGTCAGGAAAAAAGTCAAAATTTTATCTGGCAATCAGGGAAAAACAAAATTAAATTTTTGTTGCAACCCAGATATTTATTTGTTTGATTTGAAATTTTTTTTATTTCATTACTAAATAAATTTCAAATTTCCCATAGACTCACTTGACATTCGGCAAGGAATTCACTCAAGCAGTTGAATTGAAACAAGTTGCACAGCAGGAAGCGGAAAAAGCGAGATTCCTTGTAGAAAAAGCTGAACAACAAAAGAAAGCTGCTGTTATTACGGCTGAGGGTGATGCACAAGCTGCAAGTTTACTTGCAAAATCACTTGGTGATGCTGGTGATGGTCTCGTTGAACTTAGAAGGATTGAAGCTGCTGAAGATATTGCGTTTCAACTTGCGCGTTCACGTCAAGTGGTTTATTTACCTCCCGGTCAAGGTGTCTTACTAAACTTACCACAGTAAAGAATTAAAAAGAAAAATCAGGTACACAATTTTTATTAGAAAAAAAAAATCACACATACACTACAAAGTTCTGAGAACATTTCTTTCCAATTTTTACCAGTATCGCATCATTTTGTCATTATAGTTTGATAAAAGAAAGAAAAAAAAACACTGTACATTCGAAGGTAGGGAAATAATGTTGCATTTTATGAAGTAGTACAAGTATTCTTTATATATATTTCATTGAATGAAAGAAAGAAAGAGAGAGAAAGAGAGAAAAAGCAGAATTTATAATATTGTAGTTGAACATTATAATTTTTATGCGACATTTTTTTTTCCTTTTTTTTATTAATCCTTGTCAATTGTCGCCTTTTTGCTTTATAAAAACATTCAATATTATTCACCTGGGTGATTTTTAATCCTCATGAACCTTAATTTATGGTGTTTTGTTTAGATTCGGTGTATTTTTTTTTAAATTGACAAGAGAATTGTTCTCAAATTTTTTTTTTTTAATTAAATTAATAAAAGAAAAAAATACTAATTTATTGAATTTTTCTTATCTATTTGATTTAATGGATTTTTGAATCCGATTCATTTGCGTTTCGAGAAGATAGTATTGAAGAAAATGAGTGTTTTTTTTATTAATTTTATTAAATTTCATTTAATGGGGAATTAAATGGTTTTTGGCAATATTTCTGATTTTTCACACTGAAAGAAAATTTCCAAACTTCATAAAGTTGTTTGGCAATTTTTTTAAGAAAAATTTGATATTTTATTTACTATTATTTTAAATTGATTTTTATGGACTGTAAATATATTAAAAAATCCAAAGTTTGAATTTCAAAAACTGTGACTTATAAAAGAAGAAATTTGAAAGTTAAAATTTTCTTCTGGATAAATTATTTATTATTATTTTCGAAAGGATACGAATGTAGTAAATAAAATTCGAAATTTGAATTTGGAAATTTTTTGGAATTTTAGCCAAAATTTAGTTATTCGTAAAAAATGTTTTTTTTACTTAAATTCACAGGTACTTTCCTGTTTTCTTCAATTAATTTTATTATCGTACTATTTTTGCAGAAAAAGTTTATAAATTATTATTTTATTTTCCAAAAATTTGAGATTTTTTTCCATTTTAAAAGATAAAATTTTAGTTAAGTTTTCATACTACATACTATTTTATGTTACTTCTCGTAATTTTTGTAACTTATAATTTTTAATCTGAAATAATTTGAATCTTGTATAGAATTTTAATAAAATTTTTGAAAATAATTGGATTCTTTAGAGAAATTTTATTAACATTTTATTAACAGTAATTAAATTCCTAAAAAGAATTTTATGATTTGTAAAAATAATTGAAATCTTGCAAAGAATTTTATTATTTATGAAAATAATTGAATTACGAGAAATTTTACTAAAATTATATTGGAAAAAATTTGAGAAGAAATTGAAATACAGCAAAGAATTTTATTATTTTTGTAAATATTTGAATTCTTGCGAAGAATATTATTAAAATTTTTCAAAATAATTACATTCTTTATAGGAATTAAATAAAAATTGTTTTTAATGAAATGAAAATTGAAGTTAGTTGAATTCTTATCAACAATTTTATTAAAATTTCGGAAAATAATTGAATTATTTAGAAGAATTGTGCTAATATAAAATAATTGAATTGTTTTGAAGAATTTTATTGAAATTTTCGAAATTAAGTAAATTCTTTAGACGAATTTAATTAAAATTATATTGTAAATAATTGAATTCTTAATTTTATTAAATTTTTTTAAAATAGCCAAATTTCTGCTAAGGATTTTTATTACAATTTTTTAAATAATTAAATTCTTTCGAGAAATTTTATTAAAGTTGTATTAAAAATAATTGAATTTCTGGAGAGGATTTTATTATTTATGAAAATAATTGAATTCTTGAGAAGAATTTTATAAAATTTTTTTAAAAAATTCAAGTCATTTGAGAGATTGTACTAAAATTATATTGGAAGAAATTTAAGAAGAAATTGAAATACAGCAAAGAATTTTATTATTTTTGTAAATTTTTGAATTCTTGCGAAGAATTTTTATTAAATTTTTTGAAAATAACCGAATTTCTGATAACAATTTTATTACAAATATTTAAATAATTGAATTCTTTCGAGAAGTTTTATTAAATTTTTGTTGAAAATAATTGAATTCCCAGAACAAAATTTTATTATTTTTAAAAATATGTCATTTAATTTTTGATAAAAATTAAATTAAAAAATTTAAAAAAATTCAATTCTTTTATTGTAAATTGAAATAAATTGAAATTAATTGAGAAATAGTATTAAAATTTAATTGAAAATAATTGAATTCATCTTAATAATTTAATTAAACTAAGTTTTTTGTCAATAATTGAATTTCTGCAAGAAATTTTATTAAAATTTTAAAAAATCTTGAATTCTTTCAAGAAATTTTAAAAAAATTGTGTTGAAAGAACTTGAATTTTTTTCGTGAAATTTTTTTACAGTTGTATTGAAAGTAATTAAATTTCTGCGAAGAATTATAATATTTATAGAACTAATTGAATTATTGCGAAGAAATTTTATTGGAATTTTTGATAGTAATTAAATTCTTTCGGGGAATTAAATTAAAATTGAATTAAGAAAAATTGAATATCTGCCTAGAATGTTATTAGAAGTTTTAAAAATAATTAAATTATTTCGAAAAATTCTATTAAATTTTAAATTAATAATCAATAGTAAAAAATTAGTTAATTAGTTAATAAGTGAATTTTTCAAAATTTTTGAATTTGGAATTATTCAAAAATAAAAGTTGATATTTAAAAATAAAAAATTTTTATAATTTGCACAATAGTATTAATATTAATAACAGTGAATTAAATACTTTATTTTGCGCCCTGGCGCGCGTAACATTTGCTACTTAAGAAACAATAACTAAAAATCGCCCCTAAAAAAAGGAATTAAAAAGAATATAATATAAAGTAAAATTAATAAGCGGCGAATTTAAAAAAAAAAATTAACCGAAAAAGTAAAAAGGGTTTATGTTCAGATGCTCAGTTATAAAAAAAAGTTTTTCTCTCCTTATACCTTGGGAATTTAGAGGAACGAAGTCACTAATTAAATTATTATTACCATATGTTTTCTTGTCTACTTGTTGAGAGCGTGCGACGAAACAATTGATGGGTTTATATATTTGAAACGTAAGAAACTATTACGAAAAATCATAATAGACATATGTATATATACACATATATAAAATATACATATGTATATGTATATGTGTGCAATGGGCTGCAGGGCTAACGACCGTTTCCTCTGCAGCTGCACCTGTTACGCAGATCGGTTGCATGGGATGCACGCGAGCACATATGCCGATAGCGGTGCCTTGGTAGAAGACAAAATGCCTCCAGGCAACTGCTACGCCCCATCCCTTTAAGGAGAAGAGAAAAATAAAATTAAAAAAGAAAAAAACAAAATTCAGTGGTAAAAAAAGAAGCAAAAAAAAAAAATAAATTGTCTAAAAGACAAGCTTCAATTTTGACAAGTTTCGAAAACTATAGTGGAGAATTGAAAACTAGACTCTTTTAAGAGATCTAATTTCGATTTAATTGTATCTGAAAGCCATCTATTTTCTAAAATAGACCATAAAATGGTGAATTATAACAGCATTAAGAACTTCTACATATACCTTGTTATTTAAACTACGTCCGAACAAGAATTCTGCACAGTTAGAAAAAAACAAAAACAACTTTTCGAAAAAATTTTTTTTAAAGTAAAATTATTTTTAATAATATTTTATGGAATATTTTATTTCATGATTGTTTGAGAATATAATAAATGAACTGTATACTCAATAATATAATATTTTTATTTAATAATTTATAACATAATATTTTTAATTTTGAAAATACTTTTTTATAATTAATAGTAATTTTAAATAATATCGGGCGAATGAGTAAACAATAGTAATTATTCGTTTATTATTAAATAGTAATTATTGATCAATAAAATATTTTGAATGGCATATTCAACAAAATAGAATAAAAAATAATTATTTAAATTCAATTATTATTATTTTTATTATTATTTATAATAATTACTATTATACTTGTCAAATAAATATTTACTTGACAATAATCATTTAATGTCAATTGGAATAAAATTTTATTTTTGTGTTAAACAATAATAAACAATAATAATAATGATTGAATTATTTTTTTAAAGAACAGAAGTTTAATTTATTTTTAATGAAAACAATAATAATTACTGAATTATTATTTCACACAGAAATAAAATTTGATTCAAATAGACTTTTAATGGGTTATTCTCAAAACAATATTCATAAGTTTTATTCAGACGAACTGATAAAAAATTATTCGTAACTATGATTTTAATTTCCAATAAATTTTTCTATTCTTAAAAATGAATAAAATTATATTTCGTACAAGTAAATGATTAGTTCCATATACATAACTAGCTGTCGTACCCGTCTTCGACGGGTTGTAGTTTCTGATAATGCACTTAACAGTGTATCTACCAACCTAGAAAACCGGAAAATAGCCGGGAATTTGATTTGACAGGGAAAAAATAATAATTAGTTACTATTGTCTATTTCATTAGGAAAATAATACCATTTGAAACAGTGACCGACTTTTTATTATCAAATTAGTTATTTTTAACTAATTCAAATGCAGAAAACAATATTTCTCAATTTGTAGTACTTCAATCAATATAATGTATTAAAATCAATCTAAAATTTCCTCCAGTTTTTTGAGTTATAGTACAGTCTAATTCGAACTAATTGTATAGCAAGTAGATCCAGTTTTTCTCGGTTACATTAAATTCCCTGATATTTTACGTCTTTTCTGGTTGGTAGACACCCTGTTAAATGTATTATTAAAAAACACCCGTCGAATAAACCAGGAAAAATTTGGACAAAGCCGGAAAATGTTTTAAACCAAAATAAACACCGTGTTTAACTTTTGTCTTTACATTGATCAAGATATCTCTAAAAGTTAAATCAGAGAGCCCACAAATACTATTGAATTAAGCTTCATAGCAATTGGTATCAAGATAATTTTTTCAATTTTTTGATATTCAAAACATTTTTATACTTACATCTTCGTTATAAGAAAGTATTTTTGAAAAATTATGCTAAAATGTGACTAAATAATATGTAATATTCAATTATATAAAGTTTAAAAGCTATCCATTGAAAAATGTAAAATTTAGAAATTTTCGATTTTTTAAAAATATTTTTATATTTCCATTTTAGTTACAAAGTATTATTTTTTGCAAAATTATGCTAAAATGTTAATAAATAACATGTTATACTCAACTATAGAAAGTTTAGAAGCAATCCATAAAAAAATATAAAATTTAGAAATTATTTGTGTTAAATAAATTC